TTGATGGAAGGTGGACCAGTTTACAGACAAATCTGGTCTATGTCGCCTTCTGGCTTCTATTAAAAAGAATTTCAAAATATTTGTCCTCCCTTGGTACACCTGATCGTATTACCCATATTCACATGCTTTTTTATCAGCCCCCCAAAACTTATCTGATCTTATTCCTACCTTTTCATCCTTAGCGCAGTTAATTCTAGCCTCTGTTAGTCCACCAGCAGTACCAGTTTTATTAGTTAAATCTATTACTTTCTTTTTCTGTTTTACACCAATATGCTGCATCAATAATCCTTTAATTAACAAGTCAAGATAAAAAATTTAGAGGACAAGTTAATTCAAATGGAATTAACAAATAAATAGGCAAATGAAGGAAAACAAAACAACCATACTTTACAAGGATAACAACAAAGTTTCACCAATCCTTTATATCAACTGATCATTTGCAATGTTTTTCCAAAAATAAGCAAAGTCATTTACATATGGATCAACTTGAATATTTAGAAAAAAGTCATAGGCCATATTGCAAGGTGAATAATTCTTCAGGTGTACAGATTTTTGAGAATCTCATTCTCAACCTAAAATAATACTGCAATGTCTTGTAAGGTCAACAGCAGGCGTAAACACACACCCTTATCAGTAAATAAATCAGACCTAGTCTCTAGCCTATACTGAAAACAACTCACCCTAATATGTAAATGTCACTTTTTCTCTTAATTTTCTAGAAAAATCCTTTCTAGATAATACAATGGAATTAACCTTTAACCCTCAAACCCCTGAATAAAATTCAACTCTTAAACCTTTCTTTCAAATATTTGAATTTAACACAAAGGAAATTGTTAATCAACTCATTTATTCCTATACAAGGTTGTACAATAAGGTGGGAGTAAAATACTCTTTTCCAAACCTTTCTTAAGGTCATTCCTAAAATAATCACTTTGAGCAGTTTCAATGGAGACACATGTTACCAAACATATATTTTTAAGGTCTTCAAGGTAACATTTGCCAAGTACATCTTAACATTATAAATATTTTATGTCATAGTATATCTGATGATACTTTTGACAAATTGTTTGAGGGACAGGGACTACAACAATGTGTTTTTTCATTTGAACATAATGACATCAGTGAAGAATTATATTCTATTAATAGCAGAGAATTAATCTGCATTAGAAATACAGACTGGTTTTGACATGCTTTTATGCAGACAGGGGCAATAACTCATAATATACTATCATTTAACCGTATAGATATGGACAGGGACTAGCTGGTATATAAGATCATTGAGAACCTAATAAGTAATACTTGTAAAGGATGAGTGTTATATTTTTCATATCTAATCTACAAACCTAACTTATCCTCTGGGTCCACTTTCTTTTTCTTCTTTTTTAGCCTTCTATTTGGACCTTGATGTATCATAGTTAAGGTGGCTGAAAATACCAGAGTTTGTCTCTTTAATCTTGATTCAACATTTCTATAAAGACAAAGAAACACAAAATATAAGACATCTTGACTGGCAATATAATATACATCCATTGGCAGCTTTGATTTTAAATAAAAATATTTGGCAGTAAAATAACAATCATCAACTTTCCATCATACACTTCTTTTTAGGGTGATACTGAAAAATGGCAAGGATCAGGCATGCATTTAAAATAGTTTCATCCATTGGTGATTACACCAAGTTTTATTAGAATTCGTTGAGATTTGTGCCTTCTAGAGTGTTCACAAGCTTAAAATTGAACAAGGGCAATAACTCAAAAAATATTTTTGGATTTATCTGATTTGTAATATGGTTCATTCATGGGTGATTACAAATACTCACACCACATTTCATCAAAATCTGTCAAGAACTGTACAATAAAGAGTGTTTAGGTGCTCAATAAGAACGGGCAATAACTCATAATTAATATTTTTCGATTCTTCTGATTTTCAATAGGGTTCATTCATGGGTGAATACAAACACTCATATTAAGTTTTACAAACTCTGTCAAGAATTGTGCCTTCCAAAGTGTTTACGAGCAATTCAAAACAAAGGGCAATAACTCATACTATATTTTTTTGGATTTTTCTGATTTTCAATAGGGTTCATCCTTGGGTTAATGTAAACACTCAAACCAAATCCGTAAAGAATTGTGTCTTGTAGAATGTTAACAAGCAATTGTGGCATGACCGACAGACAGATGTGGGTATCACCAATATACAACCCCCATTTCATATGAGTGTATAAAATGTCAAAATATCCACTTCCAACAAAAATCTTTTACTTTTTTCCTGCAATAACAAATGATTTGAAGGGCTCTGCTGGCAATGAGACAAAAAGTTTTCTTTTTTATGGGATTCATTTAACACTTTTTCACAAAAAGCAAAGAATATCCGAAAAAACATAGCCAAATAGTCAAATTTTCACAATAATCAATAATCAGACATACAGTCCCAAAGGGAGAACATGCATGCCTTCAAAGATTTGGTATATTTATTACTTACTCTTTCATAAATTCAAATAATTTACTCAATTCCTCAAAATGTCCTTTCTCTACCATTCTATCTGCTTCATCAACAACTAATACTTTTACTGTTGGTATTTTAATCAGATGAGGATCTCCCTGAAAACATTTTCTACATTTAGTCTGCAAAAACTATACTGGATATCTCTCTCTTTCCAAGTCCATACACCAAAGAGTTTTCTACCATCAAGCTAACACTTTTGTCACAAAATCAGATTGGGTCAAAATGAAATGAAGCTTTGCATCTTAATGAGCTGATAAAGATGGGCAATGCAATGCAAGTAATAATGAGAAGACATTTTGAAAGGACAGGACATTAGACTTATTATTAATTTTTTTTTAAACTCTTTAGGTTAATGGTCTTCCAGGTATCTAATTAGTCATACTTCTCAACAAAATACTTTGATAATATTGAAAAATAATATTAAGAGGTGGAAATACAACTTAATAATTGCCATAAATACTGACCTCTTGTAAGAGTTCCCACAATCTACCAGGTGTGGCTATAATAATCTCTGGACAATGACTTAATATTCGTCTTTGTTTCTGTGGAGCCATACCACCAACTACTGTAGCTATCTATAATTTATAGTATAGTGATTAAGTACTTTAAATTAACTAAACAGATACAAGATTCATTCATCATTTATTTGAGTCCAGGTTTAAATTATGAAAATGTATAGCATAAATCACAGTGTAAACCTCAAAAGTTTTGCATTTTAAATGTTTAAAAATATTCTTAATTCTTGATTCTGTAGATTTTTTTCTTGTCCATAAATGAATTGCTTTCAATTCAGAATAGTTACCACTGATCATCCAAATTAATTAGCAGATTTTATCACCATAAACTACCAAAATTGTGAACTACGTAGAATCTTGAATCCACAATAACTATTGTTAGAAAGTTAAAATTAAACTTAAACCCTCCTGAACGTTGGAAATTCTACCAAATAGATTAAGATTAAGAATACGGTACAAATATTAACAATGGAGAATTTTACCTGAACATTAATATATTTAGCTGCTTTTTGTATATGATTTTTAACTTGAATAGCTAGTTCTCTGGTAGGCTCTAATATCAATGCTATTAGAGGCTTATCTGTTTTCACTGTAGTACTCTTTGGATCTAAAACTATATTATGCATAACTCGAACACAACCAAACTCATTTTCCTAAAAATATAACAGGCATAACAATAGTAATTAAATGATGAATTGAGGATATGGTATGAACTTTATTCAAATATATTATTCGGATACAAGTATCATAAATATATTTGCTCGACTAAACAGAAGCATCAACATATTTGGTTGAATGGCCAATCATAAATTTTAGCCTGAAAATACCTGACATTCTTCATCTACTTCTTCTGGAGGACTGTCATATACCTCATCATCTTCTACACCACTATCATTATCATCATCATCATCATCATCATCATCATCAGGGACATCACTCATTTCCATCATCAGTTCATTTAAATCAACACTTTCTACTTCATTATCACTTTTATCATAATTATCACTATTATCATTACTAGTATTCTCATCATTATCTTGTCCTTGAGAATTATCACCATTATCATCAATGTTGTTATTCTTAGAAGAGTTTATGGTTTCTTGGTGTTGTAAGACATGGTGTAGTATTGGTATACTAAATGCTAATGTTTTGCCACTTCCCTAAAAAAAATTCAAATCATACATGCAGTGACAGATTTTTCCAGATTTACTCAGTGGGTAAGAAGGAGTGTGTATAATAAGTGAAGACACAGGAAATGGTTTATTTTTTAATTCAGAAAAGTTTCATTTTCAGAAAAGTTTCATTTTGTGAACTGTATCAAATAGAATTAAAATAGTGTATTGTCCTTCTTTCTCCACCTATATTAGGACTCATTCACTGATCACGTAAAGTTCAAATCTGCTACGACATAATCCGCGCAACATGTGCTTCACATAGAAATGTAAAACTTTACTTGGTTAACTCGCAGTTAAAAGTTCCCACAAATTTTTCATAGCTTTAGAAAGTTCCCAGCATCAAAGTATCAAACTCTTTGATTGCGGTGAATAGCCACCATTTTCTCGTAGTGATAAGGTTTTTTTGGTAAAGGCGTAGAGATATTTTTAGTTCAACCAATGAGAGGCGTCGCAACATGGGCCGTCGTCATGGTTGCGCATAATTAGGTCACAACGTCACAGATCGTAAATAAAACAGTCAATAAGTCGCTTGTTTCAATCTTGTTTTGAGCAGAAAGTTTGGCGATTTTACACGAATTATGGATATGAAATTGCTCTTTTGTGTTGAAATAAACATTAATATGCAATTGCAACTTTATATTTGAAAAAAATCCAGCGTAATTTGCTCATATCCAAGGTTATCTTCAAAGAAGCATAAAGGGAAGGGATAAACGCAGCCTAGCCTAGTATCTGAGATAATCGAATGTCCCATGCCATAATTTTAATAGGCTATGTGAAAATCACTTTACCGTCTTTTATCAAATATGTAATTATAAGAAATCTTTATGATAAATGATAGGCGAAATTTGAAAGAAGGGATTATAAAATTAATAAAAAAGAGACAATTGACTAAAGAGTGGTTGTAGGCTTGTCCTAACTATAATCTAGGCCTACTTCTGTATATGAAAATTACAAAACATTTTTTTTTTTCCAGCATATTCATTAATTAAAAACAAGCAAGTTAAAAATAATTTCATGAAATTAACAACACCATTCTAATACAGGCTAAATTGATATAACAAATGTAACAAAATTTCAACATATTTTTCAAGTTAGGGCCAATAGTATCATTAATAAGCTTAGGCCAATGTTTCATATGATTTATGATTTATATATACCCATATGAATTCTGAAAAACATATATATGGCTATATAGCATGAATGTTACCAGTTTTTGCATGAACAACTGCATCGATTGCAGATAGTAAAAAATGAATGAGCAGAATTTGTTGAAAAAAGAAATTGATATTGCATGTTAAATTTATACATTGTCTTCCTTTCCAAAAATACTAAAAGTGTATTCATGTAATGAAGAAACATCTTAGTACCGATAACGTATGAAAATGATTTCTTTTTATTATAGAAATAAGTAAAATAAATCTGAACTGAATCAGTAAATAGGGTGATTTAATCTCTTCGCAATAAATAAAATGTTGCTTGATAGGAACTTTTTACATAACATATTTTCCCTCCTGGTCAAATTAAACATTCTAAAAAAATAAATAACAACACTATATTTTAGACAATGGTTTTGTATTTTCATCCTAAGGGGTGGTTTAGGGAATAAATAATTAATGAAAAGTATTTATTAATAGAAGAATTGCTATAAATATATCAATATTTAAATGACTTCCAAATTAGTTAGTTTTGAGGTAAATTAAAATAAATAAAAAAGGATCCATTACACAACTATACAATATAGCAACAGTATATCTGAAGTGAATCTACAAAAATGTGAATAAAATAAAGGAGCCTACTGGTCAATTCTCTCCAAATTCACACATTCACTACTGACACCAGCATCCGGACGACACTTATACTACCTAAATGGCTCCATTCTCTATTTTGAAACACTTTCTAATTGTACAATATAAGTCTATATACGTTTCTCATGGTCTTAAGACATTTTCTAACCTAAATGGCCACTTTTCGACTGGAATGCGCCATATTTATTTACATTTATCTGTTTATCACGTGATGTTATACGATAGGTTTGATTTTGTTACAATTTTGTCGGAGCGACTTTTGATTTATAACAAAAACTTTCACTGTGAGAGTAGGGCCTATATAGGATAATGGATAATAAAGGTGAGAAACATCATACAATGGACAATGAGGTAAATTACTCTCAGGACAATTAATGACAAATATTTGGGAAAATCTATTTCACATCATAGTTTTACAGTCTTGATGTTCCAATTTTCATCAAGAAAAGGGAAAAACTCTTACTGTTTCTGCAGCTCCTAGGATATCTAATCTATCTCTAATAGCATGTGGTATGCTCAGGGCTTGAATGGATGTTGGAGCTACCATATTTTCACTTTTTAATGCCCATAACACTGGTGTTGGAACAAACAAATTCTTCCAAGCTTCCATACCTATTTAAAAACATATTCCATGATAACATAATAAATACTGAATTTTTTTTTCACTCTTTCAATGAAACTCCAGAATGAAATTACATTACATAGAATAAATATAAACATAGTATATGAAATAAAATGATGTGTCACTATTTTTTCTTCACCTGATTAACGCCATTTTTTTTTCTGGATAGCGTGCTTTTTTATCAAAAACTGTATATTGTCCAATCCAGCTGAAAAAACAGTATTTTTTAGATACATACCCCATATTTCTCACAATGCTAAACCTATGGTGCAAATACACTATGTTTATTTCAAATTAAAAACAAGTGTCAACAATACATGCTTATAATGAATTTCTACATTCACAAGAGGTAAAATATCAAACCTTGAGGATAGTTCTGTAAGGGAGGTAACTCATCTTCATCTATAGTTGATCGAGAAGTATAATTTGCCTTTTTACATTTCTTTGCTTTAGATCCATCCTCTTTATCTGTAACATTTCATACATGACATAACATACATAATTAATGCAATTCAATGTGATAAAAATAACTGAGCATCAAAACAAAATGAAAATAAAAGGTTATTTATTGGTAATTTTTATCTGAATGCTTTTCAATAGTTACACATATGTTTTTATTTTAAATCACATATATCAAGGTTTACACACTTAAGTAAATAAGAATGATGGAAATTGAAATAACTAATAAAGGATCTTTAACTCCCTTTAAGTCCTTTAAAGAGAGAGTATCAACAAATTTTCTTGGTATATTTTGAAGTCTATGACCTTTGACATATCATCGGTTCTTGATAGACATGTAACAGAATAGTCCTATTCCTTAAAGCTGACACCCACAGACTGACACTTTAAATAAAAGCTTGTGCTAACCTTTATTTTTTCTTTTCTTTGTCGTGTTTCCTCCATCTTTCGCTTCAGTTTCACCCTTGTCAATCACTTCAGTCTGAGAGTCAGAGACTGGCTTTTCAGTTCTTTCAAGTTTCCTTAATTTTCTCTTCTTTTTTCTCTTTTCTCTGTTGCGCAATTTTTTGGCTTGTTTATAAGTTAGTTTGGTTTTCTCTTGAATTGGTGTGTCTACTTCTGGATGATCGACACAAACAGCTGAGTCTGATGTCTGCAGCAAAAAAAGTAAACTAATCAAAAATTCATAGGAAAAGAAACTGATTTAACTGTTTTTCAACCTGTTGCAACCTACAATACTTTGACATTTGGCATAAAATGCATCTGTTATTAAGTTAAGATCACACTTTTTAACATTTTAACATTGCTAATAAAGTAAATCAAAATATAATTCAGTTTTAATCTATATGTCTACAGCAGATTTGAACATACTTCACAATTTTTTTTAATTCTTTGGTATTAAATCCAAATATATTTGTTGGCTTCTTAACTCTCTAACTACAATGTTTACTGAATTAAATTTGGCAATCATTTCCGCATGAATTGATGTTATGGTATAAGAATAATAAAATACTGGGCCTGCTGAGTATCTTTGATTGTGATTAGGTTGATGAAAATGTTAAACACTAGATAAGTTATTACTTGTAAACATGATTTCAGAGAAGTGAATTTTCAGCCCAAAAGGAATCGATTTTTCCATGAATTTTCTAGGAGGGAAGTGGGTCTAATAGTATTTCAAATTTAACCGAAGACATTTAAAGACAAATGGCATACAGTTGAAAATTTTATTTTGAATATTTATGAAATAAGAGAAAAAAAAGCTCAATCAATGTAGTTAGAGCTAACTAAAGCCAAGGGCGATAATTCGCAAACTTGATTGGGGTATATAGAAATCAAAGAACCTCGAGATCTGGATATCCTTGAATTAGATCATAATCATGTAACTCTTCTAAAGCCACAACATTGTCAAATCCTTCTTCACTAAAAGCATTTGAAGGTATTTCAACCTTCTTCCACCTTCCCTTTGCTTTCACGTGTATGGGCGCAGCCATCTTGTTTGTTTTTAGCTATGATTGTCCAGACGTTCATCATATGTATAAGACGGCCTGATAATCGCAACAAGATCTATGTCTCGTTTGATACCTCTCGTGATTACCGTGTTCACAGAGTCAATGTTGTTAATTTCCGTTCGATAGTGGGTTTAATCTCGTATTTACGACTATAGAAGTTGTGAAAATGGAGAAAAAATATCGACACCCACGACTTCTCCGACCTTCACTTCGATCACGACAACTTTCATTTTGGTCCAGTTAATTTTTTATTTAAAGTCTTCTGACAATTATTTTACTGTCGTCATGTCATAAATATTATAATAAAATATAAAATATAAAAAATATTATAAATGTTATAAATGTTAATGAATAGCTTGGAAATGGAATATAAAATATATCAATACCGCTAACATAATATTGTCAATTATTTTAGTTATGAAGTCGTGAAATTTAAACTATAGAACAATTATGGAGATAGTCCGATAATAGATGGAAATATAACTTAAGTTTAATTATTTCAGTAAATTATGGACAATGTGTCCCCTGCTTAATAGCATAATGCATAATATTAACAGAACGCCTAAAATTATCTTTCAAAAGGTTTACGGAAACGGGACGAAGGACGAAATTTGCCCGAAATTTTCACCCGAATTTTACCTGTATTTTTCCCTGTTTTCGGGTTGATTCCCGATATTTTTCGGTCGCTGCCCGAAAAGAAAATATTTTCTATATATGGCAGAGTTACAAGAAAAGAAGACTTTTTTTTTTTTTAACTTTCAACGCGGATAAATTCTGGACACACATGGATTGAAGCTACGTATGGTAATTCTTACATTGAAATAACCATAAAAATAATTAGGCCTATGCCTATAGATCAGTGGAAATAAAACACGCGAATGTAGTGCGAAGCCATTGAATCTTTCCGTAGCCTATAAGAACAGACCATATATAGTTTCGAATGGGATTTGAAGGAACTCTTTTAGCTTAGCTAAACGAAAATCCCGGTAGACTAAGGTAGGCCTTACGATTGTTCAAAAAAAAAAATGGCGTATCTCTGTCCCTTTAAACCGGTTTAGTGGTATTGAGAAGTTAGTTCTAGTTAGTTAGTTATATAGAGGTAAAAAGGATATTTCCAAATCATTGCATGTGAATGGAAACCTACCGCCTATTGCGTCCCTAATGACCAGAAGTTCTGCTGTGTACACTGAACAAAGAGGAGATGGGGGGAGGGGTGGGGGTCCTTTTACCAATGCCTTCTGCTGGTATACACAAATCGCAACCTGTTGCTGTACTATTCTTGGAACCATAGTTCTTCATGTGGTTGGCGTACTCCGAATCAATGAGAGCGTCCCGCTTTGCTCCTACTGCATGGGTCATCGTGCTTGTTGGTACCGGTATATCTGTCAGTAAAGTTATGATCATGTGGAGAAAAAGTTTTATCTGTGATTTCATTAAAAGTGTACAAAGCTTTGCAAAAAAATATTACTAAGTCGCTATGAATAATCCTGATTATGCGACGTAAACGCGATTCTTGACCATGTTTTCTGTTTTTCTGTTTCAATCGATGCCCGTGACTGACTTTTATTGCCTGATGCAACAATAACGCAACAGAATGTATTCTGTCCAAAAACTACTTACAGCACATTATCAGATGACACAATTGCAAAAATATATTCTTAGATTCAAGGCAATTGAATAAGGAAATTTGATGCTCTGAGGCCATAATAATTTTATTATTGCAGACAGTTCTCCTGTAAAGTTTTCTTTCTTTTAAATGATCATAGCTATGGCCGAAGAAACTTTAGTCTGATCTATTTGTTGTTGTACTCTCTTGATATTTTCTCAAAAGAGTGACAAGAATAATGAGAACACACGACATTAAACCTAATCCAGTAGATAAATAATATACCATATTATATGATTTGGTGGCATCTTTTATAGCACCTGAAATGAAAAATAAATTATGTCAAATGTCCCAGTAAGCTATAATAATATATAAAATTAGAAACCTATACAATCAATTGCAGTGAGTACAGTGGTGTAACCTATTTTCGTGGATATAAGGATTCAACACCGAATTTCGTCAAAGTTAAAAAAACGAAAAAAAAAATTTATGCCTTAGATGTTGCCTCAGATATTCTACAAAATAATTAAAATTGGTTTATTTCGATTTTCTTTATGAATCCTTCACTTTGACCAATATTTCATGAGCAACCAACTCGGCAACGGCGGCAGAATGCCTCACCTATTTTCGTGTACAATGTTTGATCTATAAATAAGTCTAGACAAACACGTTGTATGGATACAGGGTGGTATAATCAACTTCTCTTAGTATTTATCTTTAATATCAATTCATTATAACTAGTGACAAAAAAAATAGTGACTGACAAAATAAGATACGTAGCGTGATTTATTGCTAAAAGTCACTGAAACAACATAAGAATATGGTCCACTTTGTGTTCCATAGAAATTTTCTGCTGACACAGAATCCGCTAGTTGATCACGTGACATCATTCGTTGGACTACATTCTAGCAGACGACACTTGGAATTCCGATTACCGCTTGGGATTATAAGGAAATTTGGCCGATGGTGACGTTTGGTAATAAGTGAAATCCGCCATTTTGTTTTTGTCAAAGTATACATCAATACATATTACCTTGCTTGAAACTACTGAATTCATTCTACTAGCTGACATTGTACAGGAAACCCATGTTTATCAAAACAAGTAAATGCGGAGGTCACGCGAGGTCGCACATGTAAATTATTAATCCTTTCCGGAAATCCACGAAAAATAGGTTTCCACGAAATTAGGTTACTCGACTGTATAAACCATAACATAAATCTTCCACAATTACCATGCTGCTGTTCAAACAATGAAATGCAAAATATATGTATCACCTGCAAGCGGGCCACCGAACATTCCTGCAACTCCACCAATAAAATTGATGTATCCTAGAGCAGTTGAATACATCTTCAGTCCCGAAATATCCATGACAATGGCAGGATAAAGTACAGCACAGTTGCCCCAAAAAAGTCCATACAAAATACAGATTACAAGTAACTGATTATAGGTTTCGAAATATGCAAATGTCAAAACTGTCACCGAACACAAGGAAAGGAATAGGGGCCAAATTGTCATTCGTTTGCATTTCAAAAATGGCGATATAACAGTTACTAAAACTCTGCCTCCGATACTTCCATCTCGCCTCTTCCTGAAAATCATAATCAGGATACCAACTGGAACACAGTTGAGAAAATATGCACCAATTATCAAGAAGGTTCCTCTCCAACCGAATTCTTCATTCAAGACGGAAATCAGAAATGGAAAATATACATTGCCGACTCCTATAAATACACTGACAACAGTAACCATGGTAACCCTTTTTTCTTCAAACATTTCACCAACCACAGTGAACGGGAGCAAGAAGGTTAGAGACAGACCAATACCTACAGCATATTGATAACAAATTATGTATGTATTAAAATTCATTTGCAAGCAATTCAGACTTCGCCAGAAGGTTGCCAAATCCCATTTCAGAAGCTATATAAGGAAGGTTTTCTAAACTTTTAGTGCCTCAGGAATACTGAAAGAATTCATTTGCACCAGTCCAATTGTTCAGACGTCTTGCAATTCCACCACGACTAGGCGTTTTATGATAGCTCAGAAAGTAGTCACATGCAAAAGCTATATTTTTTAAGTACCGACATAATGCATATGAATGTGACTGTATGTAACCCACCGTTCAAGTTTTTGATGAGTGCTACAAGTACAGTATTTACGTAACATAAGCACAAATCGATTACCTGTTAAACCTTGCCCAATTACCAAGACAATGATTGATGGAGCGAAGTAGCACATAATACAACCAATAAATGCTCCTATGGCTCCCACCACCATGATCTTACCACCATTATATCTGGTTATAAACGGTCCTAATATTGCCCCTGAAAAGAGATACGTTGTTTTCAAGGCACTTCCTTTCAGGCCTGCGCATGTCGAAATTTTGTGTAAGAAAGTAAGACCTTTCTGCAAAAAGCAACAGAGCCCTTTATTCTTTATCTTTTTCGAAAGTTTAATTCTAAAGGCATTTTTTCCAGTGAAAATAACCGTGTCTATGTTCTAGGTAGTGTTTGTATTTATGTTTGTGTTTCATTTGTTTGTGGTTCCTATTTATTTATTTTTTTTGTATCCGAGATCTCCCTTGTTGTAAAATGAATTGCCCTTTTGGGATAATAAAGATTTATTATTATTATTATTACCTCCACCTGGAATCTAACAGATGTTTCTGAGCAATAATCATAAAAACTTAGCTTCTAATACTCACCACCATTATCAAAGTAGGTAAAGCAAGTCTTCACAATATTCAAGTACGTAGGCCTTGTACGAGAGGTGGATAAACATTTAGAATAATCTAGGAAAGAATGGAAATAAAGTGTAACACTATTCTCACCTCCGCCTAACATAAAACCAGTATAAACAGAAATAATAGGAAATGCTTCAGCACGAGTTGAATTAAATTCATCTATAATTTCAACAAATAAAACTCCTAAACCAATGAGAAATCCAAACGGCAGAGAGGCCATGAAACAACTACCAATCGTTAATGCTGTTTTCAGAAACAATGGAAACCGGTACACTGCACTCCTGAAAGTAGAAAAACTATAATTATGACCGGTAAGGCATGTTTCAACTATTTTATCGGTATTCCTTTTCCATGAACAGTATAAAGGGTCATCTCTATCTGAACTACTGTTACGAAAATGTTCATGTACTATGAGAATTTGGTCAGCTATAAAGAGGCCACTGATTTACTTACTTTTGAGTCGCATATGTATCACATATACACACTTCCGGCTCTGAATTATTGGAATGTGTACTAAGGTAAGTTACGTTTTCTGTTGTTGCATTATCCGGATCATAATCGTTGTCGTCTTGAAATGCAGCACAATCAAAACCATTTGCTGATGCCGCGGTTTTGATTTGCATGTGCCCAATATTCTTGTCAATTTCATTTTTTTCCTTGGTGTTTGGTGTCACTTTAAGTTTTTCATCTTCACTAACATGATTTGAGTCATCTTTAACGTAGATCTTCTTATGTCCCCGGGCGTTACCGATGTTTATATTTGAGCTTGTTTCGTCCGACGTTTCTTTCTTATTCACATAATTTTCGTTTGTCTTCGATACCATTATATTTCTACATTCCAATTCAGGAATACCCAAATCATCAAACTTGTTCTGACACCCTATATTTTCATCAGAGGAAGACGACTGATCTTGGTAACAGGGGCTGGCCAATACATCATCCGATACTTCGACTGAATTGTGAGATTTATTGCTAACATTCGGACCGCTGGTTGTAGTGGAATTAGAAGAATCTAAATCGCCGTTGCTGTATGAAAAAACTTCAAGTTCTCGATCGTCTGGAGTGCGTTCCTGAAAGTCACGCATTGTGATTCCCTTTAGTATCCAAACACTGTAGTTAGATTCGTTTTATTCAGCTTTGTGAAATGGAAACAGGTGATTTGTCAATTGATATGCAAGCACACGAGTCAGTTATGATAGTAATAGATAATGCATGCATTTCCCGGGCCCGTAGCCCGTAGTACTTCTGGGGAGTGGGGCAAACGTCCAATCAAAAGGTGGGGGGGGGGGCAATTTAGGTACCCCCCTTCCCTGCCGGAAACCTTTGTGAATTGTTACTCTGTACAGTGGTGCTCTCTATAGAGTTATTGCTACCTTTATTGCTGCCGAGGACGCCTTGACACACAAGTCTGGGAACCTCTAGAAAATTTGAGAGAATTTGACTCCCTGAAACGTGATTTGCTCACATTTCCTGTCGAATTTAATGTTTGTATATGGGACTACAAGAAAATTTTGAGAATAAGACACCTGGAAACCCGGCGAAATTAAGGTTCAAGATTGTTTGTTTAGGGCTTTCCTGACATTTCCCTACGCGTTTTAAGGCTCAAGATTAAGATTCCCCTTAACTCAGTAAAATGAATTTATATATATTTAAAACAATGTTTCGGGGGAGGGGAGGGCAAGATTGGGGCAAGCCCCACCTTGGCTTCGGGCCTGGCATTGCCATATCAAAGAATACAGTTTACATACTAAACTAAGGTTTTGGATAAAATAAACAGCTTGACTTTGGATTAAGAATATATTGGCATATTAACTTTGGTTAATCCGTCGTGAGCGTTTGCAAAAAACATTGTTTTTTGTTTCACAAAACATTTGTTTGAAAGCGCCTGCTTTCTCGGAAACTGCATGCTGGTACATTGGAATACTGGTAAATAGTCTCCCCCCACCCTACGGCAATTTTTTTATTTTTCTGTCGATCAAAGTCCAGCTGCATTTATATAGGCTTGTTTCATAAGCTTATTGTCAGTTCCAGTGGCATGCTAGAGACTAAGGCCTTTCGTGTGATAGTGGGGTGGTGTGTGAAAATACAATGTATTTTTGGAAATACAGGTACTTCTATTTTGAAAACAGCATAATGCTGTAAATTTAGTTGCACATGTTAATATAGTTTTTGCAAAATAGTTAACGTAGTTTTGTCATCAATTCACTATTGGCCTCATTTCCCCAATCCATTTTTACTTTTCTTTCTTTATATTTTCGAGAAAGTATAACTAGAATGGTAAGAACACAGGACATTAAACCCAATCCAGTAGATAAATAATATACCATATTATATGATTTGGTAGCATCTTTTATAGCACCTGAAATACACAGTATCAAGGTTATTATTTAAGCATGCATAATTACGCCTCAACAATTAATATAATTAGTTAGGTTTAAAAAATGATAAATTTTCGAATAACGATAGAAGGTTGCTCATTAATATAAATATACATTACCTACAAGAGGACCGCCTAGGAATCCCGCCATGCCACAAATAAAATTTATATACCCTAGAGCAGTTGCATACATCTTTAATCCTGAAATCTCTAAAACAATAGCGGGGTAAAGCACGGTACAGTTCCCCCAAAAAAATCCAAACATAATACAGATGACAAGCAACTGAGTATACGTTTCAAAATATGCATACGCCAACACTACCATTGAACACAGGAAAAGGCAAAATGGCAAAATTGTCATTTGCCGACATTTCAGCAATGGAGATAACAGGGTGAAAAAGATCCTACACCCAATATTTGCAAATCCATTGACAGACAACAGAAAAGGACCATTTCGTATATCAAAATGTCGGCTTCTTAACATATCGATAAAAAACATATCTAAAGTTGTGAACATGCCGTTAACAAAGAAGCTGTTAAACGCAAATACTAGAAAAGCAGGATTCTTGAACAAATGAAAATTCAACAATGATTTAAAATTAGGCTTCTGCGGGCCTAATAATCGATTTCGTCTTGTCCTGAAAATCATAATCAACATTCCAATTGGTACACAGTTGAGGAAAAGTGCACCAAATATTAGAAAGGTTCCTCTCCAGCCGAATTCATTGTTTAAAGTAGAAGTAAGGTGAGAGAAATAGACTATGCCTATTGCGGAAAAAACACCCACTGTGGTTATCATAATGACCCTTCTTTTTTCAAACATTTCACCAACAACTGCGAACGGCAGTACGAACGTAAGAGAGAGACCAATACCTACAACAAACCAAATAGTAAGTATAAATATATTAATTTCATCGAAAACTAAATATATTAATTTCATCGAAAACTGAAATTACCACGTGCTACGCAATATTTCTTATGTCTACAACTGTGTATGGTATGACTGGCATACGATTTCAATACTGTGTAACAATTCTGTTACAGGTGCTGTATTCAAAGTTTTCGATTAACATGTAAACACAGGAATAACGTGATAACATCCTTAAGGCATCGGACAATAAGATGACTAGACAGAAGAAAGTTGATAACAGCTCTCACACTATAATGTTATGGTAAAAGTTACCTGTGAAGGCTTGTGCAATGACTAAGACAATGATGGAAGGAGCGAAAGAACACATAATGCATCCGATCAAAATTCCAACAGCTCCAAGTATCATAATTTTACCAGCATTATACTTGTTTAGCAATGGCCCCATAATCGCGCCTGAAATGTAGAAACACATTTTATATAAAGGCGAGAATCGGGAGGTATCACTACTAGATGGTTGTTTCCAACTAGAAAATAGTACGTGTTATAGAAAATATATAAATATATAAAGATTTCCTAACGAATGTGGACAGTTTTTTTTTGTTCGATAGTCTTATACTACATATCGGGATGATTTAGGTTGAAAAATACTAAGATTGGCAATCTCAATACATTCACAGCAATGTGGCGGTTGAATTGGATCAGGAAAGATGTCTTTCTTTTCTACAAGAAAATTTTATACCTTAGCTACATCCGACATTTCTTACCTCCACCAAACATAAAACCAGTATAAACAGAAATAATAGGAAATGCTTCAGCACGAGTTGAATTAAATTCATCTATAATTTCAACAAATAAAACTCCTAAACCAATAAGAAATCCAAATGGTAAGGTGGCCAAATAGCAATTACCAATAACTAATGCTGTTTTCAGAAACAACGGCAACTTCAGAGTTCTATTTTTAGAAAGTGAAAATAATCACATTTGTTTTCAACGATGATGGTTTCAGTCGGAAATAAACTAAATCATCAAAGCGGAGCGTACCATATATATAGCTGATTAAGTAGGCTATGTATTCTTCTATTAATTCATCAACAATGGAAACGAATTATATGATAACTAAACTTACTGTTTAGTCTCGTGCGACTTTGCAGTGTCTGAATGTTCCTCTAAATCATTGTAGTTTGTTTGCAATTCTAATTCGTTATTCTTGTCATCATTAGATGAAGCATTTGATGTATTGTGTTCACAAATAATATCATCTTGATTTACTACATTCTCAAAACCTACAGGATAAAATACACTGGTTTCGATTGGTTTATACTAATCAAACTTCGTGCATGAACATCAGATAGGAATTTGGGCAGTATCAAATGACTTCAAACTATATAAAATGTCAGCCTTGCAGTTTCAGGCAATGTTTGGTAATGGAAACTGGTAAATATTTATCTGTTTTATAAAACCGAAATTCTAAAAGGGGACATCCGTGTGGTATAGCGTAGTATAGAAAACATAATTGTTTTATAATCTTACCTTCACAATGCTGAGCCGATGTCAATGGTGATTCAGTTTCACCAACACTCTCCATTGCTGCTTCTTTGGTGACACAGTCCTTTCTGAAATTGCCATTTTTTGAAGAATGAATCTCTGGTGTGTCGTTGTAACGAAGTTCTGGATTCCCCGAGTGGTTTTCGGTGTTTTTAAGCATATTGCAGGAACTTGTATGTTCTTTGTGTTTAATCGGGTCGCGTGAGTTTTTCACAAAGTGAGCAATGGAATATAGGTCAACCCAGGTAATAAGCACAATATGATGGGCTGATAAAACATGTTTATGTAACAATTATATATCTATTTATACTCTTATATCTATCCACTCCAAGTCCGAAGTACAAAAACTATATTGAGAGTCGCTTCCGAGTCAGGCCATACGCATGCGTCCGAAACAACTGATGTCATTCTACGGCTGGATTTGTTAATTCGGCATCTCTTTTGGGGTATGCACATAATCTAGTTTGTTTATTTAGTATATTTGTTAGCTTGTATGCGCAGATCACTAGCTTGCTAGTTTGAACACTCTGGCATGGTACGATGATACCACATATGCGGGATCATCTGAGGCGGATATATAAACCTCAACTCCAATATCAGTACTGCTCCAACAGATAACAGATAATCTAACCAAACCAAACCAACGACTACCATTCGACTACCAATCAACAAGAAATATCATGATCAGAACGAGTTTGGAGGAATGAAGGAGATCGAGTAACACACGCCACACCATCCAGGGCCGAGTTACACCGCCATGTCATTCGACCCGACCAGATCTAACGAAGAATCAACAACCAAACAAACAACACAGAATCATCCAATTTGAACCAATCCAACTACCAACTACTACGACTACCAACAAATACCTAGTTTGCGATATCAGCATCCGCTGGAAGCGAACGTTAACTTGTCATCTACCTACCTACCTATCAGAACTGCACTGATGAGACTCAGAAGGCCGAAACAGTCATGTTTGCAATTAGTATATAATTATTATAATTTCAAAAGGTACAATTTTTATCTTCGCGAGAGTGGGCGCCTGCCCTTGCATCGAACAACCTCAACAACAATTTATTTCTGTACATTTCACAATGGTTGAGTAGAAGAAGATAAAATATAATTATTGATGGTATTGGGATATATAAAAGTGATCACAATGCGTGACTTTAGAAAGCATCAATAACAGTAATCAAGATCTCACGCGATATTATACCATTACAAGTACATCTAATTTACAGCATTGACAGCACTAACGGTAAGGATTGTAGCGAAGCTCAATGTATGCAGTAGTCACCAAATGGTCAGTGCCTGGCACAAATTGGATGTTTGATGATACCAGTATACATGAATCGAAGAATAGTGATATGGAGATACCGAACAATAGTATACACTGTATCATCTTATAAATCTCCCAATGTAACACCTCCTAGAATGAGATTTAAAAAAAAACAAGTCATACAGTTACCCTTGAAGATGTTCACAGATCGGGGCAAATGATGCCTCTAAGCATAACCTAAAGCTGAATTATTGAAGACGATTTGAAGTGAAATAAAATTTGATTTTTAATTAATCGAAAGGGAAATTGGATTGAGGGCCCATTTCGATATATGAAAGTACATCCATAATGATATTGTTTATGTCCTGTTTGCATTTAACATGCTATAAAAGCATACGAAACTAAGTATTATTCTTACATTTTTTATTTCCATGTAAAAACTATACGTAGTTTCATTGAGCTATAAAATATGTTACCATATCATATAATATTGTAATTTATGTATCTAGTGTGTCGGGTTTTCTATCATGTATCATTATTATTCCTGTCACGCTATTGTGAAATGTCCAGAACGTTCAACATGATAGGGCTTAGGGGTAGTTCTTGTCCGTCAGTGAGACTTTGTCTGTCAAATTGTACAACGAACGCAATTCAATGATACTATCATCGAAACTATTCCCCCCCCCCCCCCTGAAATATAGCCATTAATGAAAATTCAATTCATTCATGCAAATGACATGGAAGTCATATTCACTCAATTCAACCAATTGACCACTATAGTTCGTAAATATATAAATAGATATAATCGATAATCGTGATATACATTGATGTGTGAATTTTGTGTGAATTTAAAAAACGTGAATGCATCTCCTCGAATTAAAAGTTTCCCGCTCTAGCAAGGCTGTCGCGATCCAGTGAGAAGCTTTATGATGCCTTGTAATCATCACAGAAGCAGGGCGAACATTCTTCGTATAATATTGCGAATCATTGAGATTGTCCACTTTTTCTTTCGCAAACCATTGGGACTAAGGTACCATTAGATGGTGATCATGTCCCTTTAACGAAAGCAGCGCTGGAGTTCTTGAAAGGAGTGGCACAAACTACGTATAAATATTTGTTTGTTTTCGATCTTTGCTCTAGTGGCTACAAACAATTTAAAAAGATGATTTAGTACATAATAACAATGGAGCAATAAACTTAAATATCATTACATAAAGAAGAATATTCATAGGTCTGAATAGTCAGTTGTTATTGTTAAATACTTTAATTCATTTTACGAAATCAAGGGGAGTCTTTGTTATATGTCAAATAATCCTGAGCCTTAAATTCGTCGGGAAATGTTAGGAAATCGCGTTTCTGGGCGTCTAATTCTCAAAACTTTCTCAGTGGCATACCACTGACCCTACACAAATAATCTTGAACCTTAAATTTGCTAGGAAATATCAAGAAATGGCGTTTCAGGGAGTCATGCTTCCAATGGGCGTCCTCTGCAGCAATAAAGATGGCAATAATTCAATAGAGAGCACCACTATAATACGTAACAATTCACAGGATTTCCTGGAGGGGAGGGGGAGATACCTAAACTGCTCCCCTTGATTGGACGTTTGACCCCCTAAAAGAACTTGGCTGGCTACGGGCCTGCCCCTTCGACCAGTACCCCAAAAAGATGTGCCCCCCCCCCCTCTCCCCCTGTTTGCAAAACGGATCGCCGCCTCTTGCGTGAACCATGTAAACTTTATAGATGAATATATCGCTTAAAAGAAATTCAGTTCGATATGTTTTAAGTGTCTCCTTTTAACTGATAGATTTTGATTTATCGATACTCGTAGAATAATAAACTTGTTACGTTATAAATCTACCTACACTTGAAATGGTAAAATAAATACATTCTTTGATACTTGTTATTGTGTGTTTTAGATTGTCCGCTAAAAAAGAGTATAAACAACTGGTTTTGTTGGCCAAATCAAGGCTCTAGTCGCCAACCAAGCTTCGTGTGCCCGCATTATATGATGAGTCAAGAGTTTCACCGACCGAGACAAAATCTCCTGTCGTTTTCTACTATGTCGATAATCTCGTGCGGGTAGCTGCCCATAGTAAGCTGTCAAATTCTTTATCTAACGTTTGTAAATATTTTTGGCATTTCGGCATTTTGGCGGTACTCGAACTGCACGGAAATAGCATCATCCCTTCACGTATACCTCAAACTATTTCAATGTTTTTATTCTGTAAATGACGTCTCAAGAAAATACAAGTCGTCATTTTTACTTTCGGATAATTTTAAACACGTGGATTTGAAAGCTCAGATTTCGAGGGTGAGCTGTAAACACTATTACTGATCAGCTTACTTCAAAAGTTCCCGTGTCTGAGATTAAAGCCTCAGTCAAACTGGGAATTCAGGCTAACCCAGCTTCGCCGATATAACGGCGAAGGGTTGTTAGATGAAAATTGTCGCAAACAGTTCGCCGAGATACCGGCAAATATTTGACGACTTTCTACGTAGCTTCGCAGATGCCTTTGTGTGAATTTGAAAAACGTGAATGCATCTCCTCGAATTAAAAGTTTCCCGCTCTTGCAAGGCTGTCGCGATCCAGTGAGAAGCTTTATGATGCCTTGTAATCATCACAGAAGCAGGGCGAACATTCTTCGTATAATATTGCGAATCATTGAGATTGTCCACTTTTTCTTTCGCAAACCATTGGGACTAAGGTACCATTAGATGGTGATCATGTCCCTTTAACGAAAGCAGCGCTTGAGTTCTTGAAAGGAGTGGCACAAACTACGTATAAATATTTGTTTGTTTTCGATCTTTGCTCTAGTGGCTACAAACAATTTGAAAAGATGATTTAGTACATAATAACAATGGAGCAATAAACTTAAATATCATTACATAAAGAAGAATATTCATAGGTCTGAATAGTTGAATTTAAGTATCAAAATGAATCGTCTGGGGAACTTATTGATTTTCACCTCAATATTGGTCTTTATTATAAGCGTCTCTGGAACTGGCGACAGGTAAGATAAGACATAATTATATTCATATTTCAGGTTTAAGAACAATAAGACTACAGGTTTTCAAACAACAGATGAAGGGGAATTCCATGAAGATCATCCACATATAGCATCATAATTGCAACAGAGTAAGATAGTACCCTGCACCAAGATAAAAGGCAAATGAAGAAATGTGTTGAAATTTTATTATAGCACACATAGCTTGACAAACACTTGTATCACATTTTATAGGTGTTCGTATACATGTTATTATACAGAGAAAACTAGAGGTAAATGTTCAGCATGGAGTTGGAATCTTTGTACCAAATACAGGTGAGGAACTTAGTTACAGATCAAGTGATATAAAGTTTATAAAGTGAAAAGGGACTATGATCACTTTTTGGACAATCAGTGTCGTGGAGTTTCGTCGATGTATTTAATTTCAAAATTAATAGTAACATGGACTGTAACATTCGCAATTTGATATATGTACTAATTTGTAACAATTGCAGTAAAATATACATTGGTGAAACTGGCGGGCCCCTGAAACTCCGTATGAATAACCTCAGGAGAGATTCTAAAAATCCAGAAACAGCACCATGTGCCGTCTCGAAACATCTTAATAAATGCGCACATCACCTAAATATTAAATTTAAAGTATTCCCATTCTTTCAACTGTTTACTGACGATATGCAATAAGGACGACAAAAAGGAGCGTGGTTCATTAAGAAGTTCAAACCTTCACAAAATGTCTAATCCCCTTCTTGCTTACTGTACATTGTATCATCGTTCAATGATATTATATTGTTATTTATATCTGATTATGTAATTATTTTCAACGCAATGATTCTTTTTGTCGTCTTAATTGCATATTGTCAGTAAACAGTTGAAAGAATGGGAATACTTTAAATTTAATATTTAGGTGATGTGCGCATTTATTAAGTATATAATCAGAATATAAGGTAACAATAAGAAAGTAACACATAAATTTTCTTTTCAGATATGCGAGCAAACTCTGCTACACAGGCTGTGGTAAGTCTATATTTCGCCATAAGTCCGTACAATAATTAATTTCTAGTATGTATGCACATCCTTAACAATCGAAATACGTATTACTTTTGGACCCAGTGTATATTTCCGACATCTTCCAGTAGTGTTAATATCCCGTTTCATAAATTGGATATATATACCTTGGTGCGAAGTTATTGAAGTTTCAGATCGGTATTCTCATTTCAGTACATGGTGGATGGAGTGAATGGGATCAATCCCTTGGTCCCTGTTCTGTATCGTGTGGAGATGGTTTTCAAGATGTAAATGAAAGAAGGGAATGTAACAATCCAGCACCTGCTAATGGTGGGAATAATTGTGAAGGTGATGATGAAAGGACATCTTCACAGTCTTGTTCAGAAGATCCATGTCCTGGTAAAGATTTTCTTACCACACATATTACCTCTTTGATTTAACTTAATTGTTCAAAAATATAGTGAAAACGGTTAGTTTGAAATAACTCAGTATCAGTTCTATATGTACACTATCTAATTACATCAAGTTAGTTAAATGCTTACAAATGGTAAGAAATATTAATGATTTTGGAATTTATTCAGTCGATATTTTTGTTACAGTCAATGGTGGTTGGGGAGAGTGGAGTGAATGGATGGACACATCTGAATGTGATGTTGTGTGTGCAACAGGAAGTAAAGGTCAGTCGAGGACCAGAGATTGTGATAATCCTGAACCATCTGGTGGTGGTGAAGATTGTATTGGTGACAGCAATGAAAGCAGAACAATTGATTGTAACACGTTCTCTTGTAATGGTAAGATAAACTGCAGTTTTATTACAATATTCAAAGCCAAATTCTAAGGACAAGTACTTTCGTTTCCACGATAAAATGGAATTGTGCTAGTGCCTTCTGATCATTGATCAACATCAATTTTGTACGAATTTACATCGATGAAGTGCTTATTCTCTCCATTCCGCAATAACGAAAGCTTTGTGTAATTGTAAGTGTCTGTTTTACTTTCAGATTTATGTGTAGATGACGTACATTACATTCCTCATCGTGACATTACGAAATTCTGGCAGTGCTCCAACGGTGTTGCTTACGAAATGTCCTGCCCAAAAGGAACATATTGGAATAAAGAAATTCCGGTCTGTGACCATATTACAAAATAACTACGTACATGTAACTAGTATTTTTTCTTTAACAAAATTGTAATCAATTAAATGTGAATAAAGAATGATATGAAAGTAATATAATTTTCTATTTACATATTCACTATATTTAATTCCATTTTCTCGTATTTTGGAAGGCTCTAATTTTAAAAAAATCAATAATATCTAATGCATTATTTATCAAACAATAAACCCATACTCTTACTATCTCAATGTCATTCTGTACTGAGGTGTTTTCAATCCCATGACATAATTCTATTTTCTAGATAATTTTCTAAATATGTTGCAAAGCGCAGTATCAGTTTCTGCTGACATTCTGTTGAAGTGATATATCCGGATGCTTTGACAACTAAGAATATTACGACATATCAAGGGTTGCTTCGTTAAATCCAGCAAATATTCAGGATTTTAAGCACGCATCACAACGTTTTTAGGAAAAAAACATTTATAGATACTGAGGCGTGTTCCTTGTTTGCTTGAATTTTTGATTTTTTTCAACATATCTGAATAATCTAGAAACATTAGGAATAACCTGGACGTACTAACAACTAAAAACATCAAAGGGACTACATATGTACAGATTGGAAATCTGGCAGGTGACTAGCCAGCCACTTATTAATACTACAAAAATATAAGTTTATAAATCTGTAGACTCGAGTTCTTCTTGCTTCATATCCGATTTCCGACGTCTGCTTCTCTTGAAGATGGTTATCAATAAAAAGACACAAGCCAACAAACCAAGAGCAGTTGTTCCATAGTAAACATAGTCATAAGATCCTGTCGTGTCTTTAATAAATCCTACAAAGAAAAAAGAAAACTTTGAAGGTTGTTGTTTAATTATGAAAGTGCATATATTTGGCAAATAATACAGTGGAGCCTCGTTTATCCGCAAATTCCCGTTCCGGATAAAATCGTGCGGTTTAACGAAAGTCCGGATAGTTGAAACATGCCATTCCATAACTAGAGTTATATCCCTTCCTATAAGGACACCTGTCAAATGTCACGTACGCAACATGTGATAGACATGTGTACTTTATATGGCCAATACGTCGTGGAGAACCCCGATTGTTTATAATATTTCATTTTATTTCACTATCATAGCGTGATAATAATATCATTCCTTAAAATTAGGATTCGCTAATTTATAAACATAAATTACCGTGCCGTATCATCATAGCGATAATGTTTGATGTGTTCCGTAGCCATGATGGAATTCGGGTATGACTGAACGAAAAATTGAATTCAAGTATTACTGAACGAAAGATAGATTACACGTGATAATTAAATTAACCGCATATACTCAAATAACGATTTATTAAACACCGATCAACGAGGCATCTTGAAGAATACTTATCGGGAAGCCAGTTTCGCTGATTTATAAACACAAATGTCCGTGTCGTAACTTCGTAGAGCTAACGTTTGATGCGTTCCCTATCAATAATAGAATTCAGGTATGACTGAACGAAAGATGACATTGAAGTATAACTTAACGATTAATGGTATTCAGGTATGATTGAACGAAAGATAGCTTACACTTGATGATTAAATTAATTGCTTAATCTCATAATGAGGATTTATTAAACACCAATCACGCGACATCATAAATACCGCTAATCCGGAAGCCAGTTAGAAGAACTCATAGTAAAACGCGACCGAATGATGAATACTAATTACTATAGAATTTGATAATTGGTTCCCAATCACAACCGTGCGGAATCGGAGCACCAGATTAACGGGTAATTTTACATAGTAAATATTCTGTTCCCAGTAAAAAGCGTGCGGATATCCGGGTTTCCGGATTATCGGCAACCGGAAAAAGAGTTTTATCACGAATATTTAAGTCATCGCCGAAAGCAGGAAAATGTGATTATGATTCGTTATCATCGTTCGCTGGGCTTCTATATATACTCTCAATATAAATCCCAAATCTGTACCAATCCAAACGATTTTTGTTCACACAAGAGGGTTGCCTATCCCAAAATTCTATGAATATGAACATAACAAATTGTAAAATGGCCACATGAATGAGTATTGATTTGTCGGTTCAGTTTACATTCACGAAGTTAACTTGCTGTAGTGAAATACGGACCATAATACATATTGTTTAGGACGTGTTTCGATTGTAAAGAGGTTTTCTAAATTTCTTATGTGTATCGGTTACACTGACAGCATTAATTTGACCATTCCAATTTTCAATCAGACGTTTGTGGTTCCTAAAATTCAACTTAAAGCGGTGGGTTCGTTTTGCCGCATTGCCCAACTTGCCGCATCGTGCCCAACTGCACAAAAACGACTTGTAAAACGAAACTAAAGGTTTCTGATAAAATCCGGAATGACCATTTGTTTCATATGAAACGAAATATTTTAATCTGTCGCCCCGCATCGATTTTCTTTTAATTTATAATTTGGACCTGTTAAGGAAATCAACACTATAGTTTTATGGTAAAATCTGGAATAAAATAAATACCAAGTACAAAAGATCAGAACCGTAATACAAAATACATCAATCCATAAAAGTCAAGTTCAATGAATAAAATTGGTCATAACTTGCAAGACCTATAATTCGGCAGTGACCAGATAAGTCCAAGAATGTCCTGGTGGACAAGGTAGAAGCTTGCAAGTTATGACCAATTTTATTTATTGAACTTGTCTTGTTTCGTTTTATGAATTTATGTATTTTGTATTACGGTTCTGATCGTTTGTACTTGGTATTTATTTTATTCTAGATTTAACAATAAACTATAGTGTTGATTTCCCTAACAGGTCCAAATTATAAATAAAAAGAAAATCGATGCGGGTCAACAGATTAAAATATTTCGTTACATGTGAAACAAATGGTCATTCCGGATTTTATAAGAAACCTTTAGTTTCGTTTTACAAGTCATTTTTGTGCAGTTGGGCACGATGCGGCAAGTTGGGCAATGCGGCAAAACGAACCCACCGAACTTAAAGTGTTTGATGACGTCACATATGTGATACAATCATATATTGCGATTAGTGATCAAACATATATGACTTTTTGTGGAATGTCTGACTGGATCATTCTATCAGTGTCCCCGATACACATTCAAAATTTACATAAACCTCTTAACAATCCCTTTAAATCGACTTACCTGCAGCTGTAGCCCCACACAAACCACAAACTCCACCTATCAGGTTGGTGTATCCTACAGCATTTGCATATCTCTTTTGACCAGCTATATCCAACAGCATTGCAGGGTAGGAAATAATGCACATTCCCCAAAAGAATCCATACACAATAGAAGTTCCAAGAAGGTACGCATAGTCATTGAATACCACATAGAAGGAAATGGTTACAGAAGCTATAAATATATACATTGTCCATTGGACCATTCCGGAGCATTTCATAAACGGTGCAATGACCATTTGAAGCAGTCTTCCACCGATATTCATAAACCCGTTTATAGACAATAATGCTGAACCTGTAGCTATGTCATACCCTTTGTCTCGGATCATGTCTATAAAAAACTGGTTGATGATCGGAAAGAGAATGTTCAGAAGAAAAATACAGAACACCACCACTAAAAAGTCCAGTTTCCGAAACAGGGACAGATTTAGGACTTCTTGAAGGCTTGGTGATGCTGCATGCTGAGTTTGGTTTAGTTTTCTCTTTACAAAAGCGTTTAAGAGTCCAATCGGAATGACATTTAACATTAAAGCACTATAAATCAATATGGTTCCCCGCCATCCAAAATTTTCAGATAGATAACCTGTTACAGAAGGAAACACCACAGCACAAATTCCATGAGATAATCCTATGAAAGTGATCATGAAGCTACGCCTCTTTTCTTCAAATATCTCACCCAGCATCACAAATGGTAATAAGAATGGTGGTGATAGTCCCAGTGCTGGAATTGAAATACGACGTTGTTTTTGTTTGTTTTCAATAAATTTTGAGGTTAGTGAAGTCAGGTTTAATCATTTTGCTTATAATATATAATCAGAAATAACTTCTTAAGACAAATCTGTTTTGGGTATCTGGTTTCATATCAGTTATAACCGTATCAAAGACATATAGAAAGATCTACAGTAAAATGTACCTCATTGGCTGGTAAAGGCAAAGAACACTAAACAGTGCCGGAATCTTACTACTACATGTTTTCAAGTAAAAGGCAATCACGTGTAGATATGTTAGTAATCACTCTTTCAAACGCTTTGACCCACCTGTTAGCACCCCATTTGAAAATATTAGTATCACTACAGATGTTGCAAAGTATGAGATAATACAACCAGTAAACGCTACAAATCCACTTATAACACAAACATATCCACCATTATATTTATTTATAACTGGACCAAACACTCCACCTTGAAAAAAAGAAGGATTTCTAAACATGTTCGAAATGAAGCAGCGTCTTCCCTGAGTATCAACAAGTATTGTGCCTGGTATTTTCCTCTTAATATAGATCAATAGATTGGTTGACTTACTGTTAATGTTTTTAATGGTTTGAAAGACATATTAAAAAAATAATTACCCAAACCAAATAAGACAGTTGTATATATTGATAGTACTGGTGAAGCTTCAGCTCTAGTTGCTTGGAATTCATCAATAATACTAACAAATAGAACACCAAGACTGAACAAAAACCCAGTTGGTATCATTGTCATAAAACAATTTGCCACTGTTAGCAGAATCTGTAACTTTTTACTTAATATTGGTGCACTGTCACTGTAATATAAATAGATTCTTATATGAATCGGTGTCAAAATTCACTATCCAAACTTTTACCAATATGGGAATTGATGAAGGGTATCTCTTTAGAAACGATTTTTGTAACCAGATTGTCAATGGCTTTTAACATACGAAAATACGTATGGCTCTTGCATGGAACTAACACGAACGTAGTTTACAACCATTTTCAATCTCTACCTCGACTTAATAAGGCTGCAATATTTTAGCAAAGACTTCATATCACCTTTAAAAGCTTGGGAATGACTTCACATGTGATTCGATGGCTTGGTTGAAATATAAGGCCTTTTTTTTTTTTTAAGAAATTCGATTTATTAGTTAGAGGTAGAAATTCAAAATGGTTTTGAACTACCTTCGTGTATGTTATTTCCATGTAAGAACCATCCGTAGTTTCGTATGTGGCTTTTAAAATGAGTGAGGTAAAGTTTGAAATAGAATGTTTCTGCAAAAATAGAAATACTGTTCCAGGACTATTACATCATAAGCCGTTGCTTCATAACCAAGAATCTACTGTCCGAGAAATATTAAATATGAATTATATAATAGTTACATATATAACTTACACTTTAATTGTTACTGCAGCCTCAAATAGTTCGTCTTTGTTCTTTTTATCGCCATCCCTAGCATCTCTGCCATCATATTGTACGTCAGATGCAGTTGGTGATGAGTTGTCAAGAGGTCGAATTCCATTCTTATGGCCGTCATCAATTCCAAAATTGTTATATGCCAGGGTTCCCACTTCTTCGTCAATGTCTGTTTGTATCTCAAAATCTCTCTTTTCCTTCTTAACCGCCGGTCTAACTTGGATATTTTCAATAGTGTTGTCATGGTTTATCACATCTCTAAGCCGCATTGTACAGACGAGTTATCAAATATTCAAACTGAAGTGCGTTACGTTCGTGATGCTCGGATAAAGTAACGGCCTATGACTGATAGTAACCCTTCATTTGTAGTTCTAGAAATCCATGATAAGTATGAGCAAAAGGCAAAATGTTATGTCATGATGAAATTGCAATTTGATAAGGAATTATAAATGCTTTATCTTAGCTAAAATATTCAGACGATTTACATGGCTTACGCAATACTTCAAAGTCATCTTAATATAAAATTGTAAACGATACAAAGGTAACAGTGCTTTGGAGGATATAATAGAGCGGCACATTATGGATGGGTGAGGTTTTGTCGCGGTGCACACAGACTATACTTTTAGAAGGTTTTTATTTGTTGAGCCGTTAAGACTACCAAGGAAGTTTATGGGCTCCTTTCTGAATCTATATATCAACTGATCTCGACATACGTATAATCAAGAGTGATGCCGAAAGTCATGTCCAAAAGATTGTGTATCAGGTATTTCTTAAATGTAGTTCTTTCGAACAAAGAGATTTCTGATCATCCGGGTCGATTCAAAACATTACATTAAGCATAACTAATGAACATCAAATTCGTAAACTTTATTAAGAGTATTTACAAATGTTTTATGAGAAAGAAATACTATTGCTGGAACATAAACTTTAACTGGAAGATAACAAAAGTAATCAACGAAAGTTGAAGGGAGATAACCACTAATCATAAACTTTTCTTTGAAAAGTAGGTCAATCAATGTACTGATGCAATCTGAAGTTGCTTGTTCATTTTTAACAGCAAGTCACACATATATCTTTATACATCTCTTATCTCTAGAATGGGCAGATTTTTGTAAAAGAAATTGTAGTATCTGCTCTGATGCTATTTGTAAAGTATGGTATCAATCAGACGGTCACGGATCTCAATCTGCAAAAGGTACTCAACGAGGGCAAATGTATCGACTCTTTGATGTAGAGTGATGGAAACAGAAGGTATTGAATGAAAGATAGTTTGGACCACATCATGAACAATATAACTGCTGAAAATCCATCTACTGTCCACTGTTTTTGGTTAATGTATGTACAAATATTAATGATAACTACAGTTTTCAGTTGATTGTTTATTGTAACATAGGTTCTTAAATACATTCCAGGTAATAAAATTGATAATTCATAATGAATTGAAAAAGAGGGATCAAACCTTGGTTGAGTTGTATATTTTAATTAGTAAGACAATTCCACTCTGGACGTTATTCGGATAGAACTGGATAGAATCGAATTACTTTTGCAATGCGAAAGGGGGTAATATGATAATACTGTAGAAAGTTATCAGAACGGTACTGGTTGTTGTTTTTGACTGATGTATGCACAAAGAGTCTGTTTTTTGCTTTCAGCGCTTGTTAAATATACATACATGTATGTAATTTGACGATCGCAATTGCCTTGCACAAGTTTGTATTTGAAACACTTTTTTAGTTTATAAATCTGTAGAATCGACTTCTTTTTCCTTTATTTCTGATTTCCTACGCCTGCTTTTTCTGCAGATGACTAATGCAAGTAGAATGCTAGCTAATGTACCAAGAGCAGTTGTTCCATAGTAAACATAGTCATAAGATCCTGTCGTGTCTTTAATAAAACCTATAAATAGAAAACAAAAAACTTTTAATCCGTATCCAGGAATAATGATCTGGTTTCTTAGTTTAATGATACTTATACAATCTAAGACTCTAGAATTTATCCAACTAGAAAAGGACAATGATATAAATACAGGCTCAAAAGTGAGGGTACTTTTAATATATTTGAAGCCATAGTACGAAAAAAGTAACGAATTAAGTAAATTTATAAAACAATGAAGTGAAGAACAACCAGTTTAATGTTTTACACAGCTAAGTGCTTTAGCGATTAACATGAGTGATTTATGTTGCAATGGCAAGGTAATTACAAAATATATAACTTTTAACAATATATTTACCTGCTGCTGGAGCTCCAAACAACCCGCTTATACCACCAATAAGGTTGGTATATCCAATAGCATTTGCATATCTCTTTTGACCAGCTATATCCAACAGCATTGCAGGGTAGGAAATAATGCACATTCCCCAAAAGAATCCATACACAATAGAAGTTCCAAGAAGGTACGCATAGTCATTGAATACCACATAGAAGGAAACTGTTACAGAAACTATAAACAGAAATACTGTCCACTGAACCATTCTAGAGAGTTTTATGAATGGTGAAATCGCCATATTTACCAGTCTTCCACCGACGTTCATAAACCCGTTAATAGACAATAACGCCGAACCAGTAGCTATGTCAAAACCCTTGTCTCGGATCATGTCAATGAAAAACAAGTTAATAGTTGGAAATAGGGTATTAAGAAGAAATATACAAAACACCAGTACTAAAAACTCTTTTTTCCGAAAAAGTGAAAAAGTGAAAATGTCTTTCAGGCTTTTGGGTGACGCGTGATGAGATTTGTTCAGCGTCTTTTTTACAGAAGCATTTAGGAATCCAATGGGAATAACATTAAGAACGAGTCCACCGTATATCAAGATGGTACCCCGCCACCCATATTTATCCGAGAGAAATCCTGTTAAGAAGGGAAACAGGACAGTACCAATTCCAGGAGCTAGGCTTATAATAGTTATCATGAATCCTCGTCTTTTCTCTTCAAATATTTCTCCAACTATTACAAATGGTAGCAGGAATGGCGTTGACAATCCGACAGCTGAAACACGATCAATTTACATAAAAAATCCGTACAAGCAAGCAATAATCAAAATCTCATCCAAAGTATGGCAAAATAGAATGTGGAACTTGTGTGGTAGTGGACTCCTCCAAAGGTGTTTCGAAAAGAGTAAGCATGGTCTGCTTCGCGCGCGACACCCGCCACTACCACAATGGTAAAAATCATGAGATATAACCAGATCAATTCAGGCCTGACCAAAAACAAATCAGCCAAAATGTCCGAAACAGATTAATTCTATTTATAAAGGAGTTCTGCATAATGACCATAAAATGTCCTACATGACGTGAAGTTTGTGTGTCAAGTAACGTTGTTTCAGCAATTTCAAAGTTAATACTCGACCTATAGCGATATAGGAAATCCTCATAAAATGAACAAGCCCTAGAATAGCGGATGACCAATGAAATGTAAACTGCATAAACTGATGAGTGTGGTATGTTACTGCATATGAATGGGAAATTTACTACGGGGAAATCAGTCGTCGTGTTGGTCATAATCTGACACAAAGATCCTGGTTGTTGACAATTTCAAGAAGCAAATCCAAGTAGGACGCTTTAGTCTTAGAATCAATGGTGTCCCTAATTTCCAACTCTCCTGGGAAGATTTTATCTACATAGTCTCCAAAAGCGGAGTTATTCCGTGACAAAACGTCATCTATGTACTATGTAAAGGAAGGTGTAATTGAACGGCAAGTCTTAAATATTCAGATTAGAAATAATCAATGAAAATTGATTTAAAAAGATCAAATCATTACGGTCTTGCAGTGTTACTGCGTCACAACTCACCTGTAAGCACTCCATTGGAGAAAATCAGTATCACTACAGATGTTGCAAAGAATGAGATAATACAACCAGCAAACGCTACAAATCCACTTATAACACAAACATATCCACCATTATATTTATTTATAACTGGACCAAATACTCCACCTTGGAAAAACAATTTTCAAAATGTTTCAAGTTCCATCTGTATTCTGTGGTGCCTTGCCAAATAGAAGGGTTTTCAAACCAGATACTTTTATTTGAGCCCAATTAATGATTCGATGCAGCTATATTTTTACCTTCTGGACCACACAAACAGCATCAATTTTGGAAGAACTGCCTTGCTTGTTGAGATAAAAAGAATCCTTTTGAACCAAATGAAGTTAAATAGTAATATAATTACCTAAACCGAACAGCAGAGTTGTATATATTGATAGTACTGGTGAAGCTTCAGCTCTAGTTGCTTGGAATTCATCAATAATATTAACAAATAGAACACCAAGAGCATATAAGATTCCGATTGGTATTGTTACCATAGTACAATTGGCTATTGTTAATAATATCTGCAGTTTTCTACTTAATATTGGTTCTTGGTCTCTGAATTGATAGAAAAGTTGCTAACCGATTCAATGTCGATTCTGATACTTGTAAAATTTATGACAGATGTTTGCTATTCTCAACCGATTCAGAACCGGTCCATCTATCAATATCATACTTTAACAAAATATTTAATATTTAGGATCTGCTGTATTACTTACTACGTCGTAATCGAGGTAGGGTACTCTTTAGGAAGACCTGATGACACTCGGCTACATGGGACATGTTATCTGGACACGAATCAACTTGAATTCCATGACCCCTATCAAAATTTGAAAGCATAACGTTTGTTGATATTTATTAAATGGAATATCAGTACTTACACTTGTATCTTGACCACAGTGTCCTCTGTTGGTTTAGCGCCCTTATCTTTAAATGTTAGAGAAATGTCATTGGATGAACTAGATATTGTGGTTATAGTGCTTTGAACACCTTCTATTGGTGATATTCCGTTTTCGTCTTCAAATTGAATCTCTTTTACATTAAGTTTGTTTGGAGGTGGTTTCTCAGGAATGGGTAGCTCGTGATCGTCATTGTAGCCAATATTATCATATGCTTCTGCATGGGTTTCCTCGTGTGCAATGTCTGTTTGCATCTCAGAATCACGTTTATCCTTCCTTCCTAGCTGCAAGTCCTCAACTGGGTTGCTCTTACTTTTTACATCACCTAAAGCCATTATTCCTTAATTAAAATTAAAAGTCCACTTCTTGAGTTCAGTGTCCAGGGATATATGGCTAGCAAACTAGATACGTTCGAAGATAAATGTCTTTCGATGCCCAACCCTAAGAATTAATATATGTATCCTATTGCTATATTGTGGTGAAATGATGAACTTATATTTTTAATGAACCATAGTATATTCTCAGTCTCAATTTGAACTGTGTTTCCATGCTTTATCTCACTCTGTAATTCATTTATTATGTTCTTATGTATCAGCTGATATAATTTTTGCTGATGCAATATCATCTTATTTACGTCATCCAGATGTCACCATGCAATATCTTATTCAAAAGGTAAATGTAGCTATCCCAGTTTAGATCACGCAAGTGTTTAAATCCCCAACATTAAATGGTCAATAATATTCTTACAATGTATAAGATGAAAGAAAACTCAAGATGTATGTGTGTATATGTGTATTACAGCTACAATTTTCATTTTAAGACGTAACCTTGAACCCCGTGGAAAAATCAGAATCTTCCCCCTTCACAAGCAAAAATATCATTTATATCAATTATATCATTGCTGTCAAGGATATGTCTTTTATTTAGGTAACCCGTGCATTCCCTCATAAGGGGTGTCAGCGAAATCTGTTTCTTTGCAACCTAGGCCATCTTGAATCCCATAATCCTCCCGAGATTTTTTTTATTTAGCTGAAAATTGGAAGATTGCTGCCACATAAATAATTTAGCCACTCCGGCTTCCCCGCAACCTAAGTCTATCCTCATTACAAACGTGAATGAATGGAAGGGGCAATACACTGTGGGTATTTGGGTCGGAAAGGGAACAATCTTAAAAAGACAATAGTATAAATACTGCTAATCATCAATCAATTGATTCATGCCCTTCCTTCTTCTCTTCTGCCAATTGAGTTATTTTAATGTTAGTCAAATGGAGGGATCAAAGATAATCATGCAAATTATATTGGTAATATCAATTACAATAATAGAATATCTTCACTGTTAATATTAATTATATCATATTTTGAGTTTTTCTGTGCTAAAGTTTGCATTAATAAATCCACTTCGTCCAGTCTCTAGAGTTCTTCATTCTGCTTGCTCAAGGTTTTGATTCGTCTTGGCGTTTAGTATTGCACCAAAGTGCAAAATGCAACCCATATGCCACTGACTGTGCTCTGTAAAGATTCTAGTCAAAGATTCTCCTACGTCACCAGCTTACCAAAGACTTATTCCAAAGTGTACAACATGCTTTTGTACAAAATGTGTGTACTCTAGTTTCGGGCTTTCTATGCTCTATTCAAGTTGAACAAAGAGCTAGGAGTACGGGAACAAAACCATCAGTAACTTGACTTTACTACATTTTACCAAAACACAAAATTTCGCAGGTTAGTGTATGTGTATTTTTGCTAAATATATTTTGTGGATACATGTGTACATAAATTACTATACAGGACGGATGTCACATTCAGTCATTCTGGATTCGCTCTTTGAAACGACTGATGGTAGGATTTGCAATTAACAGCCACGGAGGTAGGCGTGCGGTTCTGAAATTGCGAATCACGATTTTGTACGGTCTTATTTTCAGTTGGGTACACAATTTTATCAGTGGCGGATTTTGGACTTGTTGGGCCACAGTCAAACGAACGGTAGAGGGCCTAATTTCTCATTTTATGGAGGGGGCATGGTGTGATTACACTTTTATGGCATGAAGTTTGCGATCAGCTCATCAGCATCAATCGTATGCATTGATCACCATTAGGCCCAAACAATTTAGTCGATTCTCACACATCACGCTCCTAATAGTAGGACAATTTTCGGTGGGCCTGTTGAAATTTATTAACTGTTTGATAATTTTTACTGTTACAAACTTTGTCATGGGCCGAATTTTCCATGGGCCGAAAGGCAACTGCCTTGTTTGCCTATATTATAGGTTAATCTGCCTCTGAATTTTAGTTTTGTAAATTTCACAGCTCCTGTTATAAGGTCGCTTGCCTCTATCATTCTTACCATAAGCTCATTATTTCCGGGACATCAGTCATGAGCCCGGATTTTAGGTGCCAGTTTCTGCACTTGGTTTTTGCGATAAATAATTGTGTTTGCTATTTCCCTCGAGTTATAATGAGAGTGGAAGTTTTCAATTACTCATTTCCTGGTCATTGCTTTAGGCTGGCGTGGGAGAACATCTTAAGCTACCATAAAACAAATATAAAGAATATAATATGATTGAATTTTAATTGTCGAGATCAAAACTTCTTTACAGTTTGATAGCTTCAAACAATACATTCCTAACTCATTTGACATGCTTATGATTTGATCAAATTGCATTATTATAATTCACTTATTGTATTCCAGTGTTAAAAAAAGTTAAATGATTGTCACAATTAAATATGGTTTGTATTTTCAACAGGAACGGGTGTCTTTTTCCCTCTTTTCTTAGTCCAATTTAACTTGAGCAGCATCATGACCATTACCAAACTACCCATACCAGTCGTAGCAGTCGCCAGATGGTAGACCAAGGTATATGAATCTGTAGCATCTTTGATGAGTCCTGGAAAGTGAATAAATTGTTAGACTGTAACTACATTTGTCATTACCCATAATAACACCAGTTATTATTTAATCTAAAACCAAAGTAGCGGAAAAAGGGAAAACAATTTTATGATAAACGTAAAATCAACTTTTAGACAATCTAAATATTGATTCCATTGCAATCCACTAAAGTTTCTTGACAGAACCATGATAAACACTTGGGATTAATTTACCCATCATTCCATGTTATCCCATATGAAATTACTACATAGTCCTACCTGCAGCTGGTCCACCAAGTAGGCTAATAGCACCATCAATGAAATTACAGTAGCCTAGAGCACTTGAAATATGCTTCGGTCCAGTAGATTCCATTATCATAGAAGGATAACACGACATGGACATTCCCCAAGACAGTCCAAAGAGAATCGTAATGGCTAGAAGATATTCATATTCAAAGAATATTGTATACAATAATGGCGTAATTGACAAGACCGCGATACAAAACGCCCATTTAATTTTGTTGTTCAATTTGATTTGGGGAAAAACAACAAGTCCAATTACTCGTCCTCCTAAATCAGAGAATCCATAGGTTGAAAGCAGTACTGATCCGGCTGTCAGACTGAATCCCTTTTCTGTAATCATATCAACATAAACCTGCAATGTTGTTGGACCAAGCAAGCTGAAGAACATCGTAGCAGACACAGATATGAGGTACTTTGTGTTTTTAAACAAGGGTAACGAAAGGAGATCTCTAATGTTTATGGTTGGATGTCCATGACCAACAAGAAGTCGCTTTTTGACATATCCGTTAATTAGTCCGATTGGAATACAGTTGGAAAATATTGCACCAATTATCAATAATGCTCCCCGCCATCCATACGTTTCCATTAGTAGTAGAGTAACGTAAGGGAACGCACAAGACCCAATTCCAGGTGCTATACTAACCACAGACATCATAATGTAGCTGTGTTGGTTATAAATTTCAGGAACACTAACAAAAGCGAGAAAGAATGGAATTGACAAACCAATCCCTGAAATAAATTAACAAGAATGACTTCGAGGGGACAGATTCGCTATTTTCGAGGGTTGATTTTGGGCCTTTAGAATATGTAAAGTCTCAAGAAGCACTAGAAATGTACGAAAATCGATTAATTTCTTAAAAAATACCCCAAACGAAGAATTTTACTTCTATTTTTATATATGTCTTTTCTATATATTTCAGAGTCTCAAGAAAAGACGAGCCGTCATTATAACTTTCAAACGGATTTCAAGGCTCAAATTTCGACATTGAGCTGCGATCACTATTACTGATTTTGAGACTTTTTGAGACTAAGTTACCCTTTAATCTAAAAGCCAGTGATGGAAGATTAATTAATAAAAGTAATGAGAAGAATGGTTATATAAAGTGGAAGCAGTAGCCTTAAAACGCAGAATGTATTCAGATGAGCCGCTCTGCTATCTTTCAGCTAGCAGAGATTCTTTACCAGAAAGAATGTCATTACCTGTGAGACCACCTAGACTAGCTATTAGTAAAGGCAAACTGGTGGTGAAAGCGCTAATCAAACATCCGATAAGGATGATCAGACCTCCAGCCATACAAATATATCCACTATTAAACTTCGTCATCAATGGCCCCCAAACACCACCTGGAATTTCATTAAGTAGTAACAACAACATCCATTATATACAATCATAGCCGTATCCGTTACAATGAAAATCAAGATGGACGGGAGCAAAATAAAGAAAGTATACTCGGTGTTCACGTCACAGGTCTGAGTAGGCTCTGTCCTTGTAACCATACGATCCTTGGTCAAACGTGTTGTAAAAAGTCTTCCCACACACATTTTTTCAGCCTTTCCGGCTTTCAAACATTTCCCATGGTTGTAAGTGTTCGGGGAGACGTCTACAACTTACGTTCACAAATACAGCGACTAATGGTATGGTATGAAACTGCTGAAACTAATAGTACGATTTACCTTCAGGGTGTCCCTAACTTTCTCTTAATATTTTAGTTAGCTTGAAATAAAAATCTTATTATCCAAGTCTCGAATCTCGTGTGGTAACAGGCTTCAGATACTATAGCATCTACAGGTCAAGCAACCTTAAAATATCACCGAAGGCATGCTTTTCCTATGGATAAAATTAACATAAAATTCTTTATGTATTAAAATAGTTATTTTAATTTTTGTATCATTTTATCGGTAGTGAACAGAACTGAAACAGATTGCGTTATAAGAGTTATGCGAACAAAATTACTTAACTAAATTTTTTTACCTAATGCAAACATGAGAGCGCTGGAAATAGACAGGATCGATGATGTCTCAGCTCTAGATGATTGAAATTCTTCGATGATGTCGACGAACATCACACTCAAACTATAGACAAAACCAATAGAGCATGCTGTCATAGCACAGTTCAGTACAGTTACAATTACTTTGAGCTTCGTGCTGATAGACGTAGACGGTGATCTGAAAGAAGGTATTGACAGTACCAATGACAGTTGGTGTATCGGGTGATAACGATTTGGCTTCTGGTGGAGATATGTTGGCATATTACTTTTATATTCTCGAGTTCAAGAAAGGCTGTGATAAAACATATATAAATGAATTGCAGGTTTACGCATTTTATGATTGAAAGTTTGTATAGTGAATCAGTGACCGGCACTCTCGATAGTCAGTCATTCATAGCTAAATATGCCAATTTCTTTTGGCTTGATTCCACCCATGATTTTGTTTGTGTTTATTAGCATAAAGAAGTACTTACACACTGACAGTAACAGCAATATCTTCGGGACACTGTGTTGATTCTGTTGGTGGTTTACTCAAATCTTGAGATTTTCTGGTATCCGTACCACGTTGCGTTCCTTCATCAAATTCTGTTTCCGGCGATTTTGTATCTACTCTGGTAATAATTTCATCGTTGAGAAAACTGTAGTTATCATAAGCACAATTTTCTTTTGGGTACAAGGCTATAGGTCTGGTTATTATTTCATATTCAGTTTTTGTTCCGTCGTCCTTCAGCTCAGCCTGTAATTGGTTGATGATGTTGGCGTGCTCTAGAACGGTGTCAATCCTCACAGTGTCTGGTTCTAAGAAGTACATGGTTAGTGAACTCCGAACAAAAAGTGTATTAATCTATGTCCTGTTGGTATTTATAAGAAAGTGGTCTACGTTTAAAACGGCTTCATTCTAGTTTGAAACAGTCAGAGATGTTTTTTTTATTTGGGAACGTCTTGAGAAATATAATTGTAAACCGGCTCAGACTGACTGCTTTTAAAGATACAATATATCAGTTCATTGTATCATCGGAGTGCGTTCTAAGCCTTTTCTATCTTAGCAACTCAAATTTTGCGCCACTGACAAGATTTATCTCGACCTATGTGAGGATCTATCCCCAACGCCTCCAGGTTATCGAGCAAGCGTATTTCGCTGCGTCACGTGGATTAGCCATGTAAGGAGAACACTTTAAATGCTACTTCTATAGGTTTTTAAAAAGAAAAAGAGAAAAGAGAGTAGTGTAGAATTAGTTTGATTCGATCACTGTGTAGTATCATTGTCACTTTAACCATATTGGATTTTATGTCCTTTAATTAGCACAAGTGTTTCATCAGAAAGCGTGCTATCGCATCTCATTTCAGACAATATGTATTCCAACTTATATGTTAAAGGTAAGGTCTACACAAAAAACTGTATATCTGACTGCAATGACAATCACCCTTTATTACAAACTATAGGTTACTAGCACTAACAAAGTACCAACATTTCAATAAATATAACCATTAATAGTAAATCTTATAATATGTAAATAAAATCGATATAGTTTTCTAAGTAGGTCATAAGTTGGAAACAATTTGACAATTACTTCATCCATTTGGCTGCTAAAACTCGGGAATAGACTGGCAGAGAACAAACTAAAGAATTCTAGATTATTTTCAGTGTTCCTTTAATGTTTGGTTTATTGTTTGGTGAGCGCAGTTTGCGGTGAAATATCCAACGTCCAATGCGATCCAGTAGAACGCTCAAACTACAACCTTGCGGTAGGGCTTTCCTTTACTTTAATGTGTCTTTATATTTCTTTTTTCTGAAGACAATGTCAATAGGCTATACACTGTCAACCTGTTTTTAAAAAGGCAGTTGATTTTAATTAACTACTGGATCTATCTAGATTTGCTCTAATCTTATTTTCAAACCCTGTCTAATAGCCTAGACGCACTAAAATGAGTTTACCTGATGTGGGCTAATTCAGAATATGCAAGTTCGCTAGGGTCCAGCAATAGAATATTGTGAATTTAATTTAAATTTGATATATGAAAGTAGGCGGTTGGGGCGGTTGAAACCCGCCCATTCAATTCACTTCAGGAAGTGACATAATACATCAAACCTAATTCAGGGTTAGGCCTGTTTCCCGATTTAAGTCTGTCTTGCATTGCCATAAAATTCAAAATCCTATGTTAGGCCTAAAAGCATTCATATTAACAAATGTATTAAGATTTGTAATTGTAGCGTAGCGTAGCAAATCCTACATAATTATTCAAAAACACGGAGAACATTTATATTCGCCATCTAAACTATAAATCTATTAGCATAAGATTATCTTCGAAGCCAATGTTATCATGCGAAATATTGGCCTTTATATATAAAAGTTAAGATAATATCCAAATAGCCTTATCCACCAAAAAAGTGCGCCGTGTTTTCCAAGTCTCGACCATAGGAGTTGAAGATAATTACAAATACCATTTCACAATATCCTTGGACGATTTTGAACGCAATAAAAGGACAGATTGGCTTTGTGGCGAATTATCGTAATGGGGAATAACTCTTCTTGTATACACACAACGCCACCTAGTGCCAGTAACGATGTAATCAAATAGCTGTCAAAAGTTTGTTATTCTTTTGTTTTATTAATCTAAGGATATTCATTTCTGTCTTGATTATGCCGAGATATGCTTTTTGAAGAAGGCCCCCCTTCGCAAATATCCCACAGGGCATGTCTTTAGTATATTCATCCAACGAAGAAAATGTCAAATAGAAAAAGTCACTCCATGTTATTGAACATCACTTCAAAAGACAAAACTTGAAAACCGTTCATCCTTACCAAGGCCTTTACACACTTTATATGTTCTCGTATAAACATGTCAGTGGATATCCACTTTATATTTTGGGAGAAAGAACTTTCTGTTGTTTGGTATAAATTATTGTTTTTTGGGTTTTTTTTGGTAGAAAATGGCAGCTGCATCAGAGGAATGTAGATCAGCTGACAGATCAGTTGGGTAAGCATGCTGCTGTACATGTACCTGTGTTTAAAATCACAATTTCATGGTTATTATACAATCACATGCATGAGAACTTGATTTCGTGCATCTCAGGAAATGATAAATAATGTCCTCCGCATATGCATGTTTTAACAAACATGGATTATCTCTACAAACTCAACCTGCAGAATATTTATAATCTTTTTCTAACATGGCAGTTTTCGGTCATTACCAAATATCTAAATTTTCTATCTACCAAATTATCTTATAATCCCCAGCTGCAATCGGAATTCCAAGTTTCGTCTGCTAGAATTATATTCCAGTGAACAAAGTGTCATGACAAACGAGCGGATTCCATGTCAGCAGAAAAATTCTGTAGGCCATATTCTTATGTTGTTTCAATGAATTTTAGCAATAAAGTACGGTACTTTTACTTCTTATTTTGACAGTAACTAATTTTTGTTACAAATCATTGTTCTTTAAAAGAATTTTCATAATTTATAATGAAATATTATGAAAGATAATACTAAGAGAAGTTAATTCTACCACTAGGTATCCATACAATGGGGTTTTTCTCAACTTATATATAAATCAAACATTGTACACGAAAATAAGTGACACATTTTGCAACAGTCGAGTTGGTTACTCATGAAATATGCGTCAAAGTGAGGGATCCATAAAGAAAAGTCGAAACAAACTAATTTGATAGAATATCTGAAGAAACATCTAAGACATTTTATTTTAACGAAATTCGTTGTTGAGTCCTTAAATGCACAAGTATAAGTTACACTACTGTACAAAGAAATCTTGGTTGAGTTGCCAGTCAGTATTTTCAGACCCCACCACAGACATGACATAGACAATGAAATATTACGGATATAATATTAGCTTATATCATTTCATTTTTTAAAAACTTGTTTTCTGCATTATACAATGCTGATTATTGTTCTACTAAACATAAGATTGTGTTGCCTTTAGATCAAAATGTCTTTTTTCAAATGTTTTTCAGAACTCGTTTGAATAGCTTGTTCCAATTGTTAGAAAAGACATTGAGTCGAACAGCAGGAAACAAGAAATCTGATATATCAGAAGAATTAACACAGATACGATATGTTACTTCTAAATTATTAACAGTTATTTCTTCACAGGGTAGGATTTTCTTTTTCAGATATAAATTGATAGCACTGTCTTATAATGTACAATTATTTGGTCAAAACTAATGTAATAGATTACAGTTTTAAAAAAGTTTATGTTTTTGTTGTGTTAGTAAATTTGTGCAAAGAGTATTTTATTTATAAAATAAACATATACACATTCATTTTGAGCTTTAGACAGGCATTAATGATATTGAGCAACTGGAGTTGAAACTTAATAAAACAAACATGTTTATATGCTTTACAACACTAGCCAATACTCTGTGGGCAAATCATTACCTGAAATATACCTATGTTACATGTTAACATTGTATGCTTAGTTAAGTCATATTACTTGCAGTTCAGGATATAGGATGTTTTATATTTTCACACTCGCTCAAAGGATTAAACCCGGCTCTATTTGTTATTTTGTTTTTCTCTTTTGATATAGATAAGGCTCAGAAAGATATTATTCTAAAACAATCTAATAATATCGAAATATTAGTCAATATATTACAGGTGAGGTATACTACATGTACTAAATATCCCAGATTTTATGGAGCAGATCTCTGAATTTGTGGCAATGGCCAGTGCTTTCAGAAATAGTTATAATAAACTTCTTCACCTCTGACACTAAATTATTATTTCATTCTTCTTATTGGCTGTATAGAGATTACCTTTTAATTTAAAATGACTGTTTTATTTGATTATTTCAGACTATATATGATGACAATGTTGTGATATCTGTTATCAATATTATTAATGAATTATTGGGAAAAGCACGTAAGATATGTTTTATGTATAATTGTAAAGTATAGCAATAGAACGTAAAAATACATTCATTTTATTTGAAGTATAGTATGAACGCTATTTCATTTAGTTTCTAAAGTGTAATTTGTTTTTTGATGTTTCCTAAAGTTTTATTATTAATCATTTTTATACGCCCACACGTAAGATGGGCGTATATTGTAATCACCCCGTCGGTCGGTCCGTCCGTCCGTTCACATTTGGCTCGTGCTCACTCTACAGGCTACAGTTCTTTATGGATTCTTTTGATTTTTATTTTGTATGTCAATGTTGTTATGAAGATGATCCCTATTGATTTTCGTGATGATCGGATAATTTTTCACGGAAATATCGTGTCTGACTTGACGTTTTACTCTATTAGCTATATTGTGCAATTCGTGCTCACTCTACAAGCTACACTTTTTTACAGATTCTTTTGATTTTGTATGTCAATGTCATTTTGAAGATGATCCCTATTGATTTTCGTGATGATCGGATAATTTTTCACCAACATATCCTGTCTGACTTGAAATTTTATTCTATTGGCTATATTGTGCAACTTGTGCTCACTCTACAAGCTACAATTCTTTACATTCTTAGATTCTTTTGATTTTTATTTTGTGTGTCAATGTCATTATGAAGATGGTAAATATATCAAATTTCATAATACTTACAATCAAAGCTATCTGTGGGCGTATGTTACCTTGCCTGGCAAGCTATATTTCTGTATATAGATGAGTTTTTTTTATGTTATTTCCGTAATAAAGAATGAATTTATTGTATTATTATATTACATTATATAGCTTTTGGGAAAAGAGCATCAATATTGGTAAACCATGGTGTATCAAGTGTTTTGTTCAATATTCTAAGACAAGCTGTCAGTGCTGATAATACTTTACCAGAAGATGCCCAATTAACAATACATTGTATATTGGGTCGTATTGGGCATAAAGGTAAATCATTTTTTTTCCTGGAATATTTATTCAACTATTGTAGATTATATGTGATTCAGAACTGAGAATGAAATGATGATTTCAAAGTGAGTTCGCTAGATATCTGAATACATAACATTTAGATCACTCTTTTAAATTGCAATTTATTGTTTTTATACGCCCACACGTAAGATGGGCGTATATTGTAATCACCCCGTCGGTCCGTCCGTTCACATTTGGCTCGTGCTCACTCTACAGGCTACAGTTCTTTATGGATTCTTTTGATTTTTATTTTGTATGTCAATGTTGTTATGAAGATGATCCCTATTGATTTTCGTGATGATCGGATAATTTTTCACCGAAATATCGTGTCTGACTTGACGTTTTTCTCTATTAGCTATATTGTGCAACTCGTGCTCACTCTACAGGCTACAATTTTTTACAGATTCTTTTGATTTTTATTTTGTGTGTCAATGTCATTATGAAGATGATCCCTATTGATTTTCGTGATGATCGGATAATTTTTCACCGAAATATCGTGCCTGACTTGACGTTTTTTCTCTATTAGCTACATTGTGCAACTCGTGCTCACTCTACAGGCTACAATTTTTTACAGATTCTTTTGATTTTTATTTTGTATGTCAATGTTGTTATGAAGATGATCCCTATTGATTTTCGTGATGGTCGGATAATTTTTCACCGAAATATCGTGTCTGACTTGACGTTTTACTCTATTAGCTATATTGTGCAACTCGTGCTCACTCTACAGGCTTCAATTCTCTACAGATTCTTTTGATTTTTATTTTGTATGTCTATGTCGTTATGAAGATGATCCCTATTGATTTTCATGATGATCTATCGATTTTCATGATGATCTATTGATTTTCGTGATGATCGGATAATATTTCACCGAAATATCGAGTCTGACTTGACGTTTCACTCTATTAGCTATATTGTGCAACCCTGTAGTCACTAAAGACTGTTTAATCATTTCTGACAGCTGCCAGTGGGCGTATGTTACCTTGCCTGGCAAGCTATCTTTATCAAAAGTGTTTCCATTTTTTTTATGATAACCTCATCTGAAGTTGTTATTTATGGTTTATTCATTTACAGATAGAAAGTTTGCTGTGAAAGCCAGATTAAACAATGTTTTGTTGTTAACATTAAACTTGTTAAAGAGTAACACCAGTAGTTTTAAAAACATGCAGATTTTATTACAAGTTTTTAAATACTATACCTCAAACAGTAAGTTGTTTTTTATAATATATGATTTTACTGAATATACTATATATATATATATATATACTGATGTGATTTAGTAAAATATCATATCCTCAGATAACTGCAAAGATATAAATGTGATAAATATATTTTAAAGTAATAATATAAACCAGTCAGATTTCTAGAAATTAATCTGATACAAACATAGTAAATCGGTTAGAAAGTTGCAGTTAAATATTTTTTTTGCGAAAGCTACAAATTTGGGATTATAGTACCTGAGTTTTCAATTTCTAATTAATCAAATTCCTCATAATATCTTTTCTGAACAATTTACGATATTTCATTGTATATATCAAAGTTTTTAAAATGTCATGGTATTTACTGTGAACTATCATAGTGAATGCCCTCATATATACTAGTAAGATAATATATTATTACAATGACCAATATTAACAGTCATGTTGGAGAATAAACAAATTAGATACTGTATGAAAAATTCAAAAGAATATTTATTAATTGAAGACATGCTATCAATATTTCAGGTGTTAATGCATCCTATGTTGGTAAACATAACTCTATTAGTATATTGTTTAAGATAATAGCGTTATGTGGTAAAAAACATACAACAGTTCTAAAATTAGCTTTAGATAGTTTAAACAATCTCACTAAATCAAGTAAGTATTTGTTTCCATAATTCATTTCCGTGATTTCAAGATGGATTGTCGTCTGATAACTCATCGTTCTATTTTATCAAGGCTAAATTCAAAGACTATTTATTTGATTTTCAAGCTGAAGTAATAATTGATTTTCTAATGAAATTGTATAGATATTGGGTGATGAAATGTTGTGGCTCTGAATCACTCTGATGTCTAGAAATAAATATCAGCCAAGATGCAAAATGCATGAAATTTTATGGCAGTCCAATTTTCTTGATGGTCGCTGGATTGATAAAGTATTATCAATGTTTTACATTGAAGGTTGTTACTAGGAATAAAAAGTTTTTGAAATGTATTTCAGAGAGTAATTCAGCAAGAACTATAGGAATGGGAGGAGTTACTACATTATTAACATTATATACAGAATGGCATCAATTTGATACAAAACATAAATATAATAACTTGAAGAAATCCATACTACATATTCTTAAAAATATCACAAATCTTAGTAAGTATTGAAAATCTTGTACAAAAACTGATTTTGAATATAGGATCTTGTTTGCATGGTTTACACATAAACTTTAAGACAGAAAGGAAGCTTGATCATACAGTACTAAACATGGATCAGGTAAACAGTTACATGATTTTGGTTAAACATCATTCAATGACTGCCAAATCCAACAGTCTTATACTGTATTGACAATCTGTTCAATCAATCTATTCTATCAATCTATCTATTCAACTGTTTTAGAATCAGGAAGAAAAGCTCTATTAGAATCAGATGGTATAAGAATTCTGTATGAAACATGTCAAGATATATCAGAAAGTCGTGAAATGGAGAGTTTGATATTACTAGCTAGTATTATAATGAGAAAATGTTGTCCCAGAAACAAACTACCTCTAGAAAACACTGATAGTGCTGTTACGTTTCCTCTACCATTATCAGATAGACATGTTCCCGATTGTCTTCATGTTTCTAATCAAAGTAAGTGGAGGTCACTCTCAAAATAATCCGAATAATGTTGTTGTATTTGTATTAAATGAGTAATGATATCATTATATTGAGGTTATTTATGTGCTAATGTTTTATTTTTCAGGTTACTTATGTGGTGATATTATATTTCAGGTTATCTATTCGATAATTATGGCTATATATAAGTTATTTTTTAGGTTATCATCTGATGATGAAGTTATATCTCAGGTTATTTAGATGATAATAGTTTATATATTAGGTTTTGTATGTGATAATGATATGATATTATATGTGATAATGATATGATAGTGAAGTTATAATTTAAGTTATATAATATGTAATAACAGTGGTATCATTGGTAATAATGTTTAATTTTAGGTGAGGTGCCTGATAGTGATAATGGTACCAGTAATGGTAATGAAAGTGATCACAGTTCACTAGATAATGATGATGATATTGATAGCGATGATGAAAGATTTAGAACAGATCATTCCGAAGATGTAAGTTTATAAATACCATGAAAAGAGATAAGTGAAATTAAATGAAAGAAGTTTTGATCTAGGCCATACATGTGTAATCTACCGATGTTGTCGGGTTTCTACCGATTTTTTTTTTTTTTTTTCCTGATCAAATTTTCACGGGACCTACCGTTTTCAATGTTCAAATTCTCTACCATAAATCAACAAAATATCTATTATCACTTGTATCCTGATCGTCGGTAACATGCGTTAATCTCATCACCTAATAATATTATCATTGCCCGACTGGATGTCTAATTCTTATGTAAACTCAAACTTCGTTTCATAAAATCGTTTTGTAATTTTACTGTAGTCTGTTAACATTCATTTGATTGCCTGCATAACAGGCTTACTTATTACAAGTCTTTCCATATCTGAAGAAAGTCAAAATGGAAGCGGAAAATTCAGTTCAATACTTCGTGAGAGTGTTGCAGGAAAAGTATTTAATGATCGCACTGGAGATATTTAACATGTCATGAGTTACACCTTTGGAAAAAGTAACATTGCCAGTACACATTATTTACTAAATATTTCTTTCAGAACATACTGATTTTTAATATTACATGTAGGCCTACCGGTACCATTTAATTTAGAGGGCTGGGATCATGCTTGCTTTCTTGTTTTCAAACATCATTTCACCTTGACATTATTTTTGATTCAATCAGTACTGAAGAATGATAATATCAAATTTTTTTCGGGCCCCTAAATTTAAAATATCAGGCACTATTTCTAGAATTATCCATAATTATAGATTGTTAATTTTAACTGTGTCATGTAGGCCCATGATCAATTTAATTAATTTACAAGGCTTAAAGCTTATTTGAAAAAAAAAAAAGAATCAATTTGGAGTTTCAAATCACGAATTTACGTGCTTTGGAAAAATCTCCCGACTTTTCACCCAATCTCCAGATTTTTCAAGGCAAATCTCCAGATTTTTTTTCCTGACCTGTACACATGTATGATCTAGGCCCCGTTTCTCAAAAATCTGTGCAATTACAAAAAAAATTGATTCCAAGATACTATCCTAGTCTGTTTCATGTCTTTTTCAATCATACATTGATATACTACAGCAAGAAGATGACCAAACTGATGCCATAGAACAACCTGAACCGAGATCTGTAGAAGAGTTAAGATCTTACAGTAAATTTTTTCCAGAACTCTTTGAATTTGAGGTAACTTGTTTCCAGATTATAACAGTTTCAGTTTAAAACAATTCATATTTATTTATAAATACTTTTTATATACACTAATACTTGATAAATATGTTCTGAGACTGGAATTTCACTGTTTTCATTACAATTTTTATCATCTGCAAGTTATCCTTAAATGTTCAGGGGATGGGGTTAGCTAAAAGAAAAGCTTGAAGAGTTAGTATAAAATAGTATCAAGCTCAGCTCTATGATTGCTCGTTTACATACACAAGACAGCTATGTCAGTCTTCATTGATTCAGTAAAAATGTCTTATATTCATTTCTTTAATTTCTAGACTCGTCCAGTTTCTAGACAGTCAATCTCTGGTGTCAAATCAGATTTTGTGACACCTGAAGCAGACAACCAATCAATATTATCTGTACCAACATGTCGACGAGTCCATTCTTTTTCAAACATATCAGAAACTCTACCAAAATTATATCAAAATAGCACTACTTCAAGTGAATCAGATTCAGTTCTGTTTCAATTTGACAAATTAAAGTTAAAAAATAGACATTCAGTACCTGACTTACAATTTGAGTCCAAAACAAAAGTAGACTCAGCGACTGCAGTTAATCTTAAAACTGGGACCAGTGTGTTCACCCTTGATGTTCAACTGCCATCTCCTATTAAATCAAATTCAAAATCTGCAAGTCAAGTACGCACTGTAAAGAAATCTAAATCAGTAAAGAAGGGAGATCAAACCAAGAGCAAGAAAATCAAAAAGAAATCTGATGCACCAGTGACAGAAAATATAGCAGACGCAATGTGTATAACACCACTAGTGACACCTAGGGACCAACTGGAAGAGTTTATTGCCACATCAGTTGTTGAAGATTATGAGGAAGATGTTTTTGACTGGTTTAAAGATCCTCAACTGTATTCTCAGCTGGCAAGAGAAACTAAAAGTGTCTATAGATTTGAAAAGGTGGCATATCCTGATCTAAATTCAGCAAGAGGAAATTCAAATCCTGAGAAATTATATAACAGAAAATTTGGAGTTCAGAGGTGGGTATTTAGAAGGCCTTAGAAGAATCCCCCTTCCCCCAATAAAATGTTTTTGTGCATTTTAGGGCCTATTTCACTCATTGATAAGTCACTGCAACCGATGGGACTGATCATTTGTGGTGACTCAAGTGACCATCAATCGGTGTGAAAAGCATGTACTGAGGACGTACCCGCAACGTATCCTAGATGCCTTTTAGGTCTTGACATCTCCACCGGCAGTCACCAGTCACATGGTCTCTAATGTGGGTGAGTAGCCTTGTGGAGACGTCACTGCAGGGTCTCCTTGGTCTCCAACAGTTCGTAGAAAAATAGAAGAGGTGTCCCTCTGGTGTCTGATGGAGATGTTGCAAAGACGTCTTGGAGGCCTATTGGAGACTGAAATAATTCCTGCAACTTCTTGAGCCCCGGTTAGTCTCCAGGAGACATTGTAGACCAGTAGAATACAGAAGTGATCAAATAAGTAATTGAAAAGTAAATAATTGAACACAGATTATAGGAAAGAATTACTTAAATATGCATAGCTGGAAACAGCTGATAATACCATCGCCAAGTTCAGTATGTCATCTGCTAGAAGAACGACCAGATTTTTGTTCTGCCTAACATGCTTATATTAGGTGATTGCCTTTTAGAATAAGACCAGAGTCAATCCTTGACTACCTATAACAAGGTGATTAAACTGTGTTTCAGGGTTAAGATATTTGAAGATATAGATAGAATGATTCATTCAGATCTACTGATAGAGAGAATTGTGTATGATTTAGGTGAAGTAGTCAACGACACCAACTATAGTCAAGAAAATAGAAATTTAACCAATAGAGATGAGTTCAGGTATCACCATTTACTATGCTCGCATTGAGATAATTTCAAAAAAATGAATTTGTTAAAGGAATACTACGTCTTAAAATGAACATGAAATATAAATTCAATTCTAAAACTTTGCCTATAAGTGTACATATTTGACTTATCTAACTTTATGTTAGCTAGTATTCCAGTAATAGTTGACTGATAAGTGATTTAAAAACAATCTATTATAGTGTTTTATGAAAAACAAAGAAGAAATGTGCCTTCTTATAATTCCTCTAAATAAAATGTGTATATATATGTTTGATTGTAGTTATGGTCGAGGTATATTAAATGTTGATCATCTAATATTCAATGCCCAGTTTGAGTCGGCTAATCTGAGAAGAGTAATACAGGTCAGTGGTACTTAATTTCAAACAGTTTTCAAGTCAGAATGTTATCCAAGTTGTTTTTGAGACATGGATTTTTCGTTTAGGTTGGGGAAAATTGCAAATTCAACTAAGGTTGTTGTTCTTCAAAGCGATAATTTGAGTATGATTCAATAATTTCAGGTTCGATAATTTGAGTATGATTCAATGATTTCAGTTTTGATAATTTGAGTATGATTCAATGATTTCAGGTTCGATAATTTGAGTATGATTCAATGATTTAAGGTTTGATAATTTGAGTATGATTCAATTATTACAGGTTCGATAATTTTAGTATGATTTCAGGTTTGATTATTTCAGTATGATTCAATTATTTCAGGTTCAATAATTATGATTCCATGATTTCAGATTCAATAATTTCAGTATGATTCAATGATTTCAGGTTTGATTATTTCAGTATGATTCAGTGATTTCAGGTTCAATAATTATGATTCAATGATTTCATGTTTGATAATTCCAGTATGATTCAATGATTTCAGGTTCGATAATTTGAGTATGATTCAATGATTTAAGGTTTGATAATTTGAGTATGATTCAATTATTACAGGTTCGATAATTTGAGTATGATTCAATGATTTAAGGTTTGATAATTTGAGTATGATTCAATTATTACAGGTTCGATAATTTTAGTATGATTTCAGGTTTGATTATTTCAGTATGATTCAATTATTTCAGGTTCAATAATTATGATTCCATGATTTCAGATTCAATGATTTCAGTATGATTCAATGATTTCAGGTTTGATTATTTCAGTATGATTCAGTGATTTCAGGTTCAATAATTATGATTCAATGATTTCATGTTTGATAATTCCAGTATGATTCAATGATTTCAGGTTCGATAATTTCAGTATGATGTCAGGTTTGATAATTTCAGTATGATTCAATGATTTCAGGTTCAATAATTATGATTCAATGATTTCAGGTTCGATAATTTCAGTATGATTCAATGATTTCAGGTTCGATAATTTTAGTATGATTCAATGATTTCAGGTTCGATAATTATGATTCAATGATTTCAGGTTCGATAATTCCAGTATGATTCAATGATTTCAGGTTCGATAATTCCAGTATGATTCAAAATGATTTCAGGTTTGATAATTTCAGTATGATTCAATGATTTCAGGTTTGATAATTATGATTCAATGATTTCAGGTTCGATAATTCAGTATGATTCAATGATTTCAGGTTCGATAATTATGATTCAATGACTTCAGATTCGATAATTTCAGTATGATTTCAGATTCGATAATTTCAGTATGATTCAATGATTTCAGGTCCGATAATTTCAGTGTGATTCAATGATTTCAGGATCGATAATTATGATTCAATGATTTCAGATTCGATAATTTCAGTATGATTCAATGATTTCAGATTTGATAATTTCAGTATGATTCAATGATTTCAGATTCGATAATTTCAGTATGATTCAATGATTTCAGGATCGATAATTATGATTCAATGATTTCAGGTTCGATAATTTCAGTATAATTTCAGGTTTGATAGTTTCAGTATGATTCAATGATTTCGTAATTTTAGCATGATCAGATTATTGCATGTTAGAGAATTTGAGTATTGTGAGACAATCGAACTTAGTTGCTTCCCTTGATTGACTCTCTAGTCAAAAGAGATAGACTTGCTTGATTACGTCAGTCTTACGTTTGCTTTTCTAATGTTTACATCATATGATATTGTCTCTCTGTAAACTTGACGATGTGTGCTAATAAATCTTAAAACCTACTCTTCATCGAGCATAACATGGCGCTGCGACAGTTCTACACGCCACCGTCGTCCAGAGGACAGTAACTTTTTACAGAGAAGTGAGTTAATTTTTGAGTGAAAAAAAACTTTGTTGACAATCGGAAAATCGACGCCATTTTTGTTGTTATTGTGAAATCATGGCGGGCAATGGACAAAATCAAAATGCTGACGCTCCACAAGCTGAAGTACCACAGATAAATCCTATTCACAACAAAATCCAGTTTGGCCTTCTACCCGACAAAGTTGACCTTTCGGTAGACAAAGGTGAACATTTCAAAACTTGGAAAGAAAGATGGGATATTTTTGCCGATGTCAACAACATAAATGTTCTGCCAATTAACACCCAAGTTTCTTTATTGAAAGCGGCCTTAGCAGACGAATCAATAAAAATCCTTAGGAACTTGTCACTCACAGATGATCAAAGAAGACAGCCAAACGAGATACTGCGTGCTTTAGAAATTTATGCCCAAGGAAACCTCAATGAAGTTGTAGAAACATTTCATTTTAACACTCGCGAACAGGCAGTGAATGAAACTTTCGATGATTTTCTTACGGAAGTCAAGGAACTTTTAAAAACTTGCAATTTTCCTGAGGATCTTCACCATCGTCTCATACGTGATAGAATCATCGTAGGCATAAACAGCAGTGATGTTTGTAAACTTCTAGCCAAATCTTCTGGATTAACTCTAACAAAAGCAATCGACATCTGCCGTTCACAGGAGTCATCAGCTCAGCAAGTTTCCGAGATTGAAGGATGCAATGGTATTAATCGTGTCTTGCGCTATCAAAATGCCAAGACAAAAGCGAACCCACAACCTTCCAAGATTAAATCTCATATGCCAACAGCTAAAACTCCCAGGACGTATGACTGTAAAAAATGTTTAAAAAATCACTCTCCACATCAATGTCCTGCCTACGGTAAAGCATGTTCCATGTGTAAAGGCGTGGGTCACTTCAAGAACAGTCCACACTGCAAAAGCGTACAGACGGTCAGATATATCCGATCCAGCATTTTAAGGACATCCAGTCATGGTGATGATGAGTTTATTGTAACCATCCAAATTAACCAAAGACCCTTTGATGCCTGTCTGGACACTGGATCTGTCGTTACGGCTATGGGAACAGATACTTTTCGATCTACTGGTCACACTACACAATTATCTCCACCAGATCGACCTTTAGTTGGTGCCAATGTTGAAAATCTACAGTGTGAAGGATACTTCGATGCCAACATAACAGCCTACAACAACACCATACAACAGAAAATTTATGTCATCGTTGGTATGGTTGGTGTTATACTGGGTCGACCAGCATTACGCACGTTAGGACTCATCCCAGAAAATTGGATCAAATCCGTAACGTCGCATGGACATATCATTTCGCAAGAACTTAAAGCTACATTTGTAAGATCATATCCAAGTGTTTTTGATGATCAACTTAAGGACATGAAAGGTGAAACTTTAAAGATCCAATTGACTCCAGATGCGAAACCCTTTTCAGTTCATACACCTTGCAGAATTCCGATTCCACTTCGAGATAAACTGAAACAAAAGTTGGATGATATGGTGCAACAAGGTGTCATCAGTCCTGTTACAGAACCTTCTAAATGGTGCCACCCAATTGTTGTCATACCAAAAAAGAATTCCACAGATATTCGCATGTGTATAGACCTTACCAAGCTCAACAAGTTCATAGTGCGTGAGCGTTACCAATCAGTTACCCCTCACGAAGCTGTCTCATCTATTCCATCACAAAAAGCTTGTATCTTTAGCAAAGTAGATGCATTGACAGGCTATTGGCAAGTTAAACTCTCTGAGCAAGACTCACATTTAACCACGTTCATTACTCCCTTTGGACGGTATAAATGTCTCAAGGCACCTTATGGTATTAGTAACATATCGGAACATTACGATAGACGCATGGATGATGTAGTCTGCGACCTACAAGGAGTCGTAAAAATAGATTATGACATTGTCATTTATGGCCAAGATGTTCAACAACACAATCAACGCCTACATGCATTCCTCAATCGCTGTCAAGACCATGGTGTAAACCTTGACTTGTCCAAATGTCAATTTGGCGTACACTCAGTACCATTTTGCGGTTACATCTTGAGATCTAACGGATATGAAATCAGTCCAGAATTGACTAGAGCTGTGAAAGACTTTCCAAGACCTGGAAATATTACTGATGTCCGTTAATTTTTTGGATTGGTAAATCAACTAGCAGATTTTTCCTCTGATATAGCAGATGCTATGCAGCCACTACGTCCCTTGCTGAAACCCAAGAACGAATCAGGAACAAGAAGACGCATTTACAGCTACCAAAGAACTGCTAACGTCAATTCCGGTCTTAGCTTATTTCGACCCATCAAAACCAACCCAATTGAGAGTAGACGCTTCTCGTCTCAATGGTTTAGGCCTAGCTCTCACACAGACTCAAGATGATGGAACGTGTCGCCTAATTCAAGCTGCTTCTAGATTTCTTACACCAACAGAGTCCCGGTATGCCATGATCGAGATTGAAGCCCTCGGTGCTGCCTGGGCAGTGAAGAAATGCCACATATTTTTACATGGATTACCACATTTTGATCTCATTATTGATCATAAACCCTTGGTACCCATCTTTAATCAGTACAGGATCGATGAAATAGACAATCCAAGGCTGCAACGTCTTAGAATGAAGTTAACTCCATATAATTTCACCGCAATATGGACAAGTGGGAAATCTCATCAAGCTGCTGATGCATTATCTCGTTCTCCAGTAGACCAACCAAATGATGAGGACATAGTTGATCAAGAAGATTCCGAATCCCTCGTCAACCTCATCATGTCGGTCAGAGACCAAGAAGATAACCATTCTATCCCACTTTCCAAAGTTAAAGAGGCTTCATTAAAGGACCAACAAATGGTGAAATTGAAAACTATCATCTTAAAAGGATGGCCGGATACTAAACAGCAATTACCAGAAATAGTTCGTGAATTTTGGCCTGTTAGATCCAGTTTTTCCATTCATGATGACATACTATTATATGGTTGCCACACTATCATTCCCAAATCTCTTCGATGTTCACTTCTAAGAAGACTACATGACGGACACCAAGGAATGGAAAAAGCTAAACGACGAGCTCGTCAGTCAATTTACTGGCCAGGCCTCGATCGCGATATCAGCAACCTCATTAAAGCATGTCAAGCGTGTCAAGTCACACAACCTTCTCAACCTAAGGAACCAATTCAGCTTCATGAAGTTCCCACTCTACCTTGGAAGAAGATAGGTACGGATCTTTTCCAGTACGGCACAGAGAATTTCATGGTTATAGTTGACTACATGTCCTTCTGGCCTGAATTATACATTCTACACAAGGACACAACTGCTAAATCAGTCATTTATGCCTTACAGGAATCATTCTCTCAATTTGGCATTCCTGATGAAGTATTTTCCAACAACGGGACCCAGTTTACTTCCAAAGCTTTCAAACAGTTTGCAGACCAATGAGAATTCAGACACAACACTTCCAGTCCAAGATATCCACAGTCCAACGGCAAAGCCGAAACTGCTGTTAAAACCATGAAGAATATTGTATGAAAGTGTCGCAAAGATAAAAAGTTGGATATGGTCAAACTTCGTAAAGGATTGATAGCCTTTCGTAATTCCCCATTATTAGGAGGAAAATCACCAGCAGAACTTTTTCTTGGTCGACGTCTCAACGATTCTCTTCCTTGCCATCCAATCTCATTTCAACAAAAATGGATGATGCCAAACAAAGAAGTTAACCGTCGCAAGAATCGTGCCAATGAAAAGTCCATCCATTTTTACAACAAAAGAACATATCCTTTACGTCAATTGAATGTTGGTAGTCACGTACGAATCCAGCATCATTCATCAAAACGATGGACAGTTAAAGGGAAGATTGTCAAAATTCTTCCTCACAGATCATATTTAGTCCAGTTGCAAGATGGTAAAAAATTTCAACGCAACCGACGACAACTTAAACCGTACACTTGGATGCCTTTCCCTTCAGGAACAGGGGGAGGTGGAGGTCATCATAATCCTCAACGTAATCTTCAGCAAGATCACGAAGCCAGTGCTCCTGAAATTGAACGTCATCAGCCAGACCCAGTTCCAGTTCAAAAGAAGAGAGAACACAGAACTAGTAGTTATGGAAGACGAATTAGGAAACCAACTAGATTCAAAGACTTTGTGACAGATTATTAGTGTTCATTTCAAAAGTGCATAATAATCTGGGGAAGGTGTGAGACAATCGAACTTAGTTGCTTCCCTTGATTGACTCTCTAGTCAAAAGAGATAGACTTGCTTGATTACGTCAGTCTTACGTTTGCTTTTCTAATGTTTACATCATATGATATTGTCTCTCTGTAAACTTGACGATGTGTGCTAATAAATCTTAAAACCTACTCTTCATCGAGCATAACAAGTATGATCAATGATTTCAGGTTCGATAATTTCAGTATGATAATTTCAGTATGATTTGATTATTGCAGATTAGATAATTTGAGTATGATTCAATGATTTCAGGTTAGATAATTTCAGTATGATCTGATTATTGCAGGTTAGAGAATTTGAGTATGATCAATGATTTCAGGTTAGATAATTCATTATGAAAGTTTGAGTATGATCTGATTATTGCAGGTTAGAGAATTTGAGTATGATCTGATATTAAATCCTGATATTAATACCAATCATCATCACCAATGGTTCTATTTTCAAGTATCAAATATGATAGCTGATGTTCCTTATAGATTTAATATTGTCAACTGTGAGAAAATCAACAGTCAGTTTAACTTTGGTAAGGCTCTGTTCTGAAATTTGATGAAAAATTTTAGATTAAATACAAATTTATACTTAGTCAGAAATGTCATCTGAATATTCAATTTTCAGTTTGTTAGATCATTATCTAATATAACTGTATCCCTTTACTGAATGAAAATTCAAGTTTTGTTTGTCTACATTTAAAGAAAGGACCAGTATTGTAGGTGATAAAAATTAACAGTCTCTCTTGAAATTCATCAATTTTCCTGTCTATATTGTCAGATTGTTTTACCAGGTATGAAACCAGTGATATATTCAGTAGGAGAAGCAATGGAAGGTAGAGATGGCTGGATGAGAACAGGAACAGATATTTGTTATTATAAAAACCATTTTATACGTAGTGCTATTACTACTGGTGGTGTTAAAGGCAAATCATATTATACCACCACATTTACAGTGACATTTAAACACGATAGAGATATCTGTTACTTAGCATATCATTATCCATACACTTATACCACATTAAAGGTATGTGTTCATTCATTTATGATTAGTTTAGACTAATAATTTACACATATACCATTTACAAGTTTCATTATATTAGTCTTTGATTATATTTCATTTATAACATATTAAAGGCTGAAGTAACATTCTATATATCACTTATATATATCACATCACAGGAAAGATATGAAGGTAATTGTCATTAAATTTTTTAAAACTATACGCTTTTACCACTTTAATGCTTAGCTTAAAGGGACATCCTGCTTTTTTGTAAATAGTTTTGACGTAAAAAAAAATCACGACTAGATTTTTTAGTTAAAACTTTAAGATAGATTTTTGTTTATAGATTTCACAAATTTCTGTAAAAAGTGGAATGCCCCTTTAAGCGGAATGCCAATTAAGGTTTAAAAAAGTATTAGATTCATAACACAAGAATGCAAAGTAATTAGAACATGACGTACTGGTCAATGTTTTGTGTTAATTTTTAAAACAGTACACCTATAACAGCAATAAGTTAAAACATAAATATATTTGTACTATTATAATTCTTGGTTTAGATGGCTTTAATTTGACTACATTACACTATTACATATTAATGTAAAGTTATTAGAACATATTTATACCACTTTAATTAGAACATTACACCTTTAGTTCATAGCCATATTATGTTAACATTACAATCTTATCATGTTGAATAACAGATCACAATTTTATGTGATCTCTACCTCTAATTATCATATTAATGCTAATTAATTAGAACATGTGTACTACTTTAATGTTCAGCAGTAATTTTTGATTATTACACTCATATATAAGAAGCTGATGTAAATTAATTAGAACAAACTAAGCTTTAGAATATTACACAAGTTTATCATAGTTATACAGAGCCATGATATTTGAATATTACACTCATTTGATATTAATGTGAATTAATTAAAACAAACTTAGTTATATCATATAAATACTTAACTATAGATTCATACCACATATGTATGTTTATACTAGTTAAAATTTCATATTTATACCATTCTGAATATTAATTTCATCAGATGTACCACATGAGATCAAATCTTGCTTGAGCTCACTGATAGTCTATACTGATACCATAATCGAAATTCATTTTGTTCATGATTTAATTTCATTCAAAGTATCATTATGTTATATTATATAGTAATTATTAAAATATAGCATACAATTTATGTAGTGCTAGCAATGGAAGCGCGAGTTGGGGTACAGAGAAATGGTTTGTACCCCCAATTCATTTATAACAAATTTAAGAGTATGATTTTTATACTTTTTTGCCCTAAAATATATCAGAATGTATCAATCAATTTCATTTTTTAAAAATTAAACAAGCTGCCACATTTGAAATCACCAATTTGACAGTTGTCCGCCCATTTAATCAACCTGTACCTAATTGTACCCCTAGTTTTGTGAGTCTGGGGCCGCCACTGGATATAAAATAGATTTTAAATAAAGTTGAAGTCGATATCGATTTAAAGCAATATTTATTTATCATCTTTCTAGTGTCATCTATATCATTGGGAAAGTATTTGTGATGCAAGTCAGATATTTTATAGACATCAAAGTTTATGTGAAACATTAGCTGGTAATTCAGTTCCTGTATTAACTATTACTGCTCAACCTTCTCCTAATGATAATGATAATGCTGAATTCAGTAAGTGTTGTGGTCATTGTTTTATACTCACTCTTCTACTTAAGTTTTTCATTTTCATGAATTAGATGATATCAATATAGTTTGCAGATAGGTTTGCTTTGTGCGTTTGGTTCAAATTAAATTTACTATTTTTAGAGTCCTTAACTTTAAACTTATTACCTTGAACCTAGTCTATGATATGAAATTGATTTGTAGAGAGAAGACCATATATATTTTTGTCAAGTCGTGTCCATCCAGGTGAAAGTAATTCCAGTTGGGTTATGAAAGGTAAGAATGGTTTTACAGCATATAAGGGAACTATGTACTCCAAACATTTTTTTTACTTGGCTGATGCAAATGATGATGATGATGACTTTCTGATATCTGACTTAAAATTGGAATGATTAAAACTGATGCAATGTTCTGGATAGACATAAAAACTGACTTCCTTTACTTAAAGTTTGTAATGGTTTTATAGGTTCAATAGATTATTTATTAAGTAGTCATCCAGCAGCTCAAAGATTACGTGAAACCTATATATTTAAAATAGTTCCTATGTTAAATCCTGATGGAGTCATCAATGGAAAGTAAGTCTTTTTTGTTTTGTTTAACAATTGAATTTAACTTTGCATGCTTGTGACTTAGTTTGGCAATGAGTCTCTTTTGAGGTGAAGTATTGGATGTGGAACCAACTATACTGCTGGTTGATAAGAAATTCAAACTTATTTGTAAATTCATTGAATTCTTAATATCAGTATCAGAAATATCATCTGATATATCTGATGTGATCTGATCTTCACTTGCCAAGTAGGAGTTGTCCACCTTAGATTGTATTTAAATAATCTCTATAGATGATTTACAAAGACCTTAAAGCGTGACCAGCTTTAGCATACGAGAATTGTGATAGTAGACCTTTTGTACGCAGCTTTATCAAGTTTTGTTAACAATCTAAAATCATTCTTGGTTTTTCATTAATGTCAATAGATAGAACTTTTAACCAAAACATTCAGTTTTATTTCTGCTTATAGAACAAGATATAGTTAGTTACAGCTTAAAACCTTGTATAACGATATATGACGTGAACTTACTTTTCGAGAAAAACGCAAAAAACTATTTGTGTGCGTATTTTGTTCAAATCTTTTTCATCCGCAGAAAAAGAAACTTTGAACCTTGTGTAATAATATATTTTACGAGGTTTTAAATCTGACTGTTTATATACGTGTTATTTAATCAGTGCTTTTTGAATTATTTACAATCAAGCTCAGAATACAAGGTTTTGATCACAAGATCCGCGCTTTTACGAGCTTTCGAATGGTGCCAAAAAGTCAAAATGACCAAATATGGTATATACAAGGTTTCAAGCGGTCACCCACGATATGTTAAAAAATATGCAAGACATTGCTTAGAACGAAACGTGTCTTTGAGCAAAATTTGTTAGATACAATCTAAGAAGCCTGCTATAGACCAATTAAAAAAAGTAATTTATGTTTCAGTCATAGAAGTTCATTAGTAGCAGAAGATTTAAACCGAAGGTGGTCTAGACCGTGTCCTAAATTACATCCTACTATCTATCATTCTAAAGGTTTATTACATTATCTCAATATGATCAACAGAACACCCATGGTAAGAGTTTACCTGTATATAATCATGTTCACCTTCTCTGTTTTAATTTCAAAGCCCTATAGGAATACCAGCAAACATAAGAGGGTTAACTATGACAACTTTTAGAAAAGAGATCTTTCAGTAATCAGCAGTATATTGAGACGAATCTGTCAACAAGGTAAAATATTCCTGGTTTTTGACCGAAGTGTATTAATCCACTTTGCTGGTGGGCAGTTGGGTAGGCCTACTAGAGGTGTCAAAATACACAAAAAAGTACAAATTGTATGAAAGGATTGAAACCAATGTATTTGAGAGTATCTGCTGTTTTATTGAATTTGTTACAAATTTAACCAACAATGCTCGCAATGTAGAAATGAATTTGAAAATTCATGTTGAATTGTATTGGAATCAATAGTTAGATCTGTCATTGCCTATCAGTCTGTGCAAATGTGACTCCCATGTATCTGTAGAGAATAATTCTGACAAACCTGTAATAATAGAGACTATAATAGGTTATTTTCTACAATGAACCATTAAATAAATAGTTGTTATTCAGTATTTGATTAGTTGTTTGTACATTCTACGGCTAAATAGATAGGAGTTGTATAATCACTTTAATTTTTCACCATGCATATAAAACATACATTAGTGCAGATCACTGACATTTGTTTTGAATTTCATTACTCATTGTTATGTACATGTTGTTTTTAATCTTATTACATTTTGTGTTGTATGACATTTCAGATGTTCTGAATTATTGATGTTATTTTCTTGACAAATGTAATTTTAAATATCACACTACTATCTCTACTGATTGTTGATTGGTTCAGAGAAATTTTCGATAATAAGTTCTCCTTTTTTTATGAGCAATTGAACAATTGATTTTAAGAGGTGTACTATTACTGGTGTTCACTTTAATTTCCAATACTTTTTGTTACTGTCAACTCATCCTAATGAAAATATAAAAAAAGTATAACACTATTTAACAAGCTATTAAGGTTCAGAGGATGTGTTATTTCAGCTAATTCTAGATCAAACCTAGTGATATTGATTTGTTAAAATGACAAGATCAAAATAACCTGCAAAAAAAATTGACATGAATTGATTTTTGTTATGGTGACTATGTAAGATGGTCATGTATTCCTGAAATTGGAAGAAGCTTTAACTAACATTTGTATTAATATAGGTATCTTGTGATTATCATGGTCATTCTAGACGTAAGAATATATTTATGTATGGTTGTAGTCCCTCATTGTCCTGGATACCAAATGATACCCAAAACCCTGCTTCAACTGGTAATAAACATGAAGATAATGGCTTTAAGGTAATCATACTATAAAATACATTTGTTTTCACTTACAAATATTGTAGGTTAATATTCACAAGATCTTGTACAAATATCAATGGTTGATGCTTTGATATACTGAAAATACATAAAAACTGACTTGTAAATACAATAGATGCAACAGTTTATGTCAGAATTTAAACAATTGTGGTATGTAAGTTTCTAGCCACAAGATCTTAGACAAGTTTCAATTTGGGTATGATTGACAAAGTTTTGAACCATTGATAAACTTAAATGTATAATTTAATGATCAGTAGGCTTGATACTATATGATAATGATTTTCATGTCAACCCATCTTTAGAAGTTGATCTCTAAGATGTTGCTAATTATAGACATTGAAAACAATGAGTGTTATGTCTGATTTTATTGAAAATGTCTTACTATAATAAATAATAAATGTATTTTGAAAGTCTTTATTATTTTTCCTGGTAATTATTATTCCCCTGGCTCATATATATATGTGTTTTTTATTGAGATAGTCTGTCTGGATAATGTCATCTCTGTATCAATGTTATTATTACTTTTTATTTGACTGGATGATGAGATCTAACTTCAGAAATAAAACATCAAGAGACCTTTTTTTGTTTCAACATGGTTTCCTGGATTTTTATTGTTTTGAAATTCAGACAACAACAAACAATATCATAAATTCTTAGGAATGCCAAATGGGTTAGCTCATCTGATTACCTTGAAGCAAAAACACCCAAAAATATTAACAATGGGGTAAATTGGCTCCAGCAATATATTTGATTTTACCAAATCATGTCACAACGAGATGTGCAATAGAAATGCTCCAGAAACTATCAAAAATTTATAAATGCAAGAATAAGATTAAAGTTAATAAACTTCTGGTACTTGTTACACCTCTTATACTAAAACAAAATACAGAGCAACTATCCATCAGGTCCTTAATTTGGCAACTGGAAATATGTTGATTAGTGACAAAAATTTCTGGTAAAAGAGGTGTATAATATCCTGATATGTGATAATCGTGGTAAAATACCACAAAATGAGGAGATAAATATGTTGTGCATTCAGTCAAGAGTTTGTCTGAACCGCTAGAAACCTTTCAGCTTTTGTCTGCCCATGCTTTCAGTCATAAAAACAAAGAATTGATTGTCATACTAAAACATTTTGAAATAAAACTTTTAAATATGTTGACAATTCTATTTTTCCAGACTTTACCTCGGTTATTGAGTATCAGTTCTCCAGCATTCTGTCTACAGAACTGTAGTTTTGTAGTTGAGAGATGTAAAGAATCAACAGCTAGAGTTGTTATCTGGAGACAGCTAGGGGTAGCTAGAAGTTATACCATGGAAAGTAGTTATTGTGGATGTGACCAAGGCAAATATAAGGTGAAAGTACTTTCCTCTACAAATCTTTTTTTTCCCTTCTTTCAAGGGGCAGTATGTAAATCACAAATTGTTATAAAATTATGACTCAGATTAACCACAGTTTTAATTATCAATTTCTGTTAATCGACCATCAAATTAAAATATTTAAAAAAAATCCAAATAATCAAAAACTTTCCATCATATTCATTCAATCTCATATCTGTTCAGTTTAAGGGATAGCTTCTTGTGAATTAATTTCTATTTTTATTAGGGAAATATAATATATCCCTTCAATTTATGAAGTGTTTTGGTTCAATTTTACATTTCTTAAATAATAAAAAATTGTTTTCTGTTGGCATATTTTGACCAAAGACAGATATAATATGAAGAATTTGACATATTAACATAGTTTCTGATGTAAAATTTTCTAAACATGAATAAAAGCAAAACAAGGGAAACCATTGAAGTTATATTTCTATAATTGCAGAAGAATTAAGCTCATTGAAAGAGAGAATACTATAAATCTTTGTGTCAGGATATGTTGACTTAATGGCATTTCTCTTTGTAATCTAGGACCAACATCTAAATACAAACATTTTAGAAGAAATGGGCCATAAATTCTGTGAATCTCTAATGAGAATTGTAAGATCTAATGTTATAAACGATTCTAATTCCATGGAATCAAAAGATGTCTTACAATTTCTGGAGGCATCAGCTGCAACTTACAGGTAATTGCTATCATTAACTTATTTACAATCTTGTACACAGCTAATTTGAATCTGGTTTGAAATGAAAAACGGATAATTAATGTCTTTAAATTTAAAGTCTTTGTACTAAAAGCATTAGGGATTTGAAAGTGAACTGTTAATGACAATGATCTTAAAGGAGGTGGGAGGAATATAAATCTATCACACTACACTTTCCTCTTATATTTCATTTTAACTCATCTGGGAATTTTTATCCAAGCATAGGCAGTGGAGTTTCAAGGAAACATTAGGTGAGGGAGCTGCGCAAGGACCAGAAAATTTTCCAGGGGGGCCACAGTTCATTCTTTCCCTATGTAAAATGATAATCAAATTTGAAAGTGGGGGGATGGGGCACGGTTGACAATCTCAGTAAGAGAGTGGGAATGGGAGAAAAGGTAAGATGTATCTGTAATTAATGATATATTAACAATTTTGATTGATTATTTTCTCTATTGTAGTATGTTAGATTATTTAGAAGAGGACCAGGAAAGTATAAGTGTTATTAAGAGAGATAGAACTATAGAGGAAAGTGTTTATGATCTAGATCTAGAAACAGAAGATGAAGAGTATGATGAAGATGAAGTAGAAGATTATTTAAGTTAAAATATTTGGATTGAAACATATTTTGTATCTTGATGGGTTTCAGGACATGACATTTACAATTGTTAATTCAATTTACTCTAGATGTCTTTGGATATAAAATGCTGTAATGTAGATTTAACCCTGGATAAGTGCTGTATATTTATAAACAGTATGAGGAATCAAATCCTTGATATATCAAACTTATCTTCTGATCACTTATAACCAAATTATACTACTCATCTCATTGCATGGCTTCAGTTAATAAAATTGGTGACCTATTATGAAACCCTTTAGAATGATTTTTACGACTAACATCAACCTATTGATTAACCAATCAAAGTGAATTAATTCACTTCCAATAAGAAGTTTGGACTGGCTGTATCAAGGGTTGATTTGGGGTTCTAATTGACTCAAGCACTCAAAAAAATCAAGATGATATTTTTAAGGTTTGTCATAAACATTTAATTAATCCTATTTGCCCTCCATTTAAGTCCCATGACTGTGACATGAGTGATTACTCTATAATATGTACATTGATTATAATCTGTGGTATGGTGTTTGTTGAAAAAGTTTATTTAATTTTAAGGATGTATTACAACCTTTGTATAAATTCATTAGTTGACATTTATTCACACTGAAGAAAAACATTTAATCTTTAACCCTGATCATTATCATTCTGATTAAAATACAGATTATTTTGTATGTGACTTAATTATCAAGAACAATTCTTCTGAAGCTCTTGTTATAAGTAAGGAAAGACTAGGTTACCTGTGGGTTGAACCAAGTTTCTGATTAAAGGAAAATCTACCAATATTTACATTCAGTTGTATTTTTATCTGAATAGTTTAGTTTCACTTACAATTAAATCTAAAATACTTAAAAGGGTCGAGTCCAGACTAAATTTGGACACATCCTTGTCATAATCTGTAACTATAAGTAAGTATTCAGATTAAAGGATAATGTTGTCTAATACAGTGATGTTTTTACAGATTCGTGGCAAAGGTTAAGCTGTTCTGGCTTTGGCCCCCTTTGTTTCAAATTTCATCAGTGAGTTCATGAATATTAGTGCTGTTCGCCCTCCTTGCCCCAAACTGGCCCAATCCCTTTAATTTTATAATTCCACTGGGAAGAGAAAACCACCTCCAATGGTACAATTTTTCAGGTTTATTTTGAATATTATGGCAAAGTAACTTAGCTTTAAAATGTTGGCATTTTATAAACAGAAATCCAAAAAGTATTTGAGTCCTTTTTTCCATGACATTTAAAGGATATATACAGCTCATTTTGAAATATGCATCATTCTTTCCAGATTTAAAGACAGACTTTTAATTTTGCCATATCCTATAAGTCTGATTTTAATACTGAAATGTTTAAGGCATCATAAAAATTGAGCTCTATTAGTTGGCTGATGTAATATTTTGACCAATATATCCTTACAAAACTGATATTTTCTTGTGATATGATGTTTTACTTTTTACCATGATCAAAATTTATTAATAGGACAAAAATCCATTTTTATTTTTGAAGCTTCTGTTGTTTTGACTACCAATTGCTTATATTCATGTTCAGATACATATATGTTCTTTAATGATATGTTTTAGTTTGATGATATTAATTTTTATATTTATAACAGGTTTAATGAATGCATAGAGTGCTCACAATCTTTATTCTAAGATAACATGATTTTATGGATGTTTTTAGTTGAAATTATATTTTAAGTAAATCTTGTGTGTTTTTATTGCATAAGTCAGTTTTTAATTTGTCCAGTTATGTTAGCTTTAATGCCAAGCCTTTTACAAAAATATTTGCTCTGTCTTGCACTGCTTATCAATCATGGTCCATGTGCACCCCAAGTTGTGAATTCGAAATTCTCAAACCATTTAACCATTTTAAGATGATCTGGAAGACATTTCCTATACAGAAATCTTTTCATCGTCTCATACCCAATTTTTAGTGGTTATATTTAAGTTAAAATAAAATTTAATTGGCCAGAAAAATAGAAGAACTCCTCGAAAAGAGAATGTCCCTGAATTTGTAATAATAGGGAAATGGGTTTGAATTATTCACAAAGGGGCGAGTGTTGTTATTAAGGGAAAAATTGAGCAACAGTTCCAACTTGAAATAACTAATCCCCAGAATGAATCCTGATGTTTACCACTTGGAGCAAAGCACCAGTTCACGTTGATTTACAAATCATTGAAGACTAAAACATTTGTGCTCAAAACTTACTTACTTCCTCTCATGTGGGTGTGCTTTTAGCACCAAGCTACCGTAGTTCTAGATGTTGTAACCATTGTTCACAAGGATCTTACTGAAGGGCCTTGATATCTCTAAAGCGCTTTATGTGTTAAACTTTTGTGTGTTCTTCAAATACATGTACAAACAATACCTTTCTAGCATGTTTCAGTCTATAGTTTTTCTATGCCTACATTGGAATGACGTATATTGCCGTCGTTTCTGTCCGTCCGCCGGACAACAGTTTTTATACGATCTTGATGAAACTTGGTATGTATGTATAAATTGATGAGATCTCGGTCAAATTCGAAATTGGTAATAATACGATGAACGTTTCGGAATTATTGCCCTTGACTTGGAAAACATACGTCATATTTAGTTTGTAGGCACGATAGAGGCTACAGTTTATTATCCGGTCATGATGAAACTTAGTATGCATGTAAACTAGTGTCCAAAAGAAACGATACCGACTTATTTTCAAAATTGTTTTTTTACTAAGTGAATTGTCTAATATGAAAACATGCCAATTCGTATTGCACATCCCAAACACAGTATAGTCGATAAAAATACCGGGAACACGTGATCACTTCCGGGA